AAATAAACTTGACTCATTCAAATGGATTAAAAGTGTGAGAAACAGATTTCTGCTGTCCACAAACGAAGCATCAGCTCTTCTCTTTGAGTCATTTGGTAAGATAGTTCACATTTAGACAGTGAATGTATTTCAGGTCAATTAAAGGTGTTAGAAACTTTTAATCTTTGCAACAAGATATGATGAAATAGTGTAAGAGTTGGCCAATGCTAACAACATTCACCAAGAATATTTTGTTTCATTTCTAGTCCAAACAATTTCTTTACACTTAACATAACAGCAATTTCAACAAAGTGTTTTACAACTTGGGGTGGATGATTAACATCACAAAGCTCAAATAATACCTCAACTGCACCCCCAAAAAAGAGGCGCTATGGACCTGAAGAAGGACCAACAATGAGGGGAGAGGGAGGAAGTTCAAACCGTCTCTTCCACTGATCGTCAAGGGCAAACATTGGCAGACAAGCCGGATTCTCTGGACCCTCTGGAAATTATTGTGCAAACAATTCTTCATCAAATAAAAAACATTATGGACATCTTACTTATCAGACTGTCATAAAACAACAGTGTCTTCAGTAAGAGGCTTCTGCAGAGCTGCAGGAATACAGATTGCTGTAGGAGAGCATCCCTGTCAAAAACCTGGAGGGATAAAAAGAAACACTAGCAGGAACAAATGGAGGTGGACCGTAGCACTGCTTTGACCTCTGTCATAGGACAAATGAGTAAAGGTCTTATTCAAAGACAAATGATTAAGGCGTCTCACTGAGCATTAATCAGAGGAGAAGCAAAAAGGTTGTTTTCGATCCACTGCTCAGACGGACACTTTGGACCGTCCGCATTATATTACACGGTGGTGGCTGCACAGTGATGAGGACTGCTGGGAGGATAGAAGGAGCTAAGAAAGGAAAATACTGGAAGGAAGATTGGAAAAGTTTATTCTCCAGCGGGACACCAACTCTATACTGACATCGAAGAACAAATGCAAAATGTGTTTCTGCATTGCATTGACTTAGCAGACAGCAGGTAATACAGGTAATAACAGGTAATAACAGGTAATAGCAGGTAATAACAGGTAATAGCAGGTAATAGCATTACTCACTGTCTGCAGGCTTTCAGGACCAGAAGGCTCACAAATCACTGGACATATTTCAAATCTCCAAATTAAAACCAAAATCAAAGCATAAAACAGAAACTTAAAAACACACACTCAACTAAAACTGTAAATAAAACGGATCATTACAAAACCGTCCTTCACAAAATATTAATCATTAGAATGGCAATCATCTACTTCATTTTTATTAATTTTGCAATTAATTGATTCGTTGCTTCACCACTGTGAAGCATCATGCGGTTCACAGAACCAATTGTCCAACAATAATGTTAAACAATGATGTAAAATGTATTTTGAGTGTAATCTGGAGGTGCAAATACTGGCACAAAAATACCTAAATTGTGCTTTTTAAAGTGAATTTAAAAAGTACAATTTAGGTATTGTGCTTTTAGGTATTGACAGGAAAGCCTGTCAAAGAATCTCTGAGATTCTTTGACAGGCTTTCCATAGATGCTCCTGAAAATATAAAAGGCGGGAAAGAAAAGCAAAAACTCCCGGTGTATGTGATCAAGAAGGAGCGTGGAGTGTTACGGAGGACTCACCGTAGTACTGGAGCGGCTCAGCGGAGCAGTGACCCTCCGAGGCGGAGAGGTACCCCCCTGCCGGAAAGCTCATCTCAGACTCGGTCCACTCTCTCATCTGGACTCAGGGATCCTCGCTCCACGCTGTGACCTTTAAAGTCTATTTTCCTGCACCAAGAAAACACGGAAGCCGTCTGAGAATTCACACGGAACGTGACGGATCTGGACGGTGAGGAGACATTCCTTAATCCCCACGATGTGTTCAGGTCTCCACGACTGATATGTACTTAAAAACACACACACACACACACACACACACACAGAGAGAGAGAGGAAGAATGCAGCTGAGGCTCTTCGTCAGTGGTGATGAAGTGCTGGAGGAGGGCCTGACTGTCCCTCGGGGGTGGACAAAAGGGAAAGTGGGGACACCCCGGAAGGACGGGGCTGGACCCGCGGTCCACACAGCTGGACACGACTGCGACCTGATAAATCACACGAGACCTCCGAGATGTACAACACTCGCCGCACGTCAGAATGTGTGAATGCGAAGTTGTTTGTTTCCCAGAGCAAGAAGAGAGTAAATATTACACATCTTTCTAGAACAGAATCATAAAAGTTCCAGGCCCTGGGAGTTTGTTTACTCTTGCCTTTTGTTTACTGCTGATTTGTTTGCGCTGCAGTTAATATTAGACAGCAGTTCATGTTGGAGGGTCTCCCAGCCGGACGGCTCAGGCCTGTCCTGCTGGAGGAAGACAGAGGAGCGACTCCCGCCCGGGGCATGTAGGCCCTTGAGCGGAGGGGGGGGCCCTAAGACGTGCTGCGTGTTTACGGTGGATTGATGGTGTCCTCCCGGCCCCGTATCATCCCCTCTCACTGACTCAACGTGGGAGCAGCTGGAGGATGGCAAGAGGTGAGAGGGAGAGGCAATCACTCTTACTGAGGCTGAAACCCTTCAGAACTCTCTTATAGGCCTCACCGAACTTGAAGTACACTCATGATTGGTCTGACTTAAAGTATGAAGTTAAAAAAAGTGGTACGATCACTGAGTTTTGTTGGATACTGAAACTCAGGGACCTTCGACTTTCACTTTTCGGAATAACGACTTCAGGATCGATCCTGATGATGCCAAGATTTCTACGCTGAGGTGTGACAGAAGCCAAAGCACCCAGGAATAGCTTGATTTCTGTTGCTTCGTTCTCAGGAGAGATGAGTGTCTCTGTCTTAGAGAAAAGGCTAATTGAACCTCTGCTCAATGCGACTGGCAGTTTATCAAGGAGGGTCATTTCAGACATTCAGTAGCGCTGAAAAGAACAATAGATCTGAATGTCATCAGCATAGAAATGGCCAACTGTTGTTGGAGCCAAACTCAACAACAACTGAAGTTGAAAACCACTTTGTACGGTTTCATCAAATGTGAAATTTGGTGCAGAAACAGAAACAGTGTCAAAATGACTGTTTAGTGGGACTCAGTGGATCTTCAAACTCTTTCTTCATCACCTTAGAGTGGAGTGTGGAATAAAAACGACTGTTAACCGAATCTGGCCTGAACGCACAGCAGAGGGGGGGGTTATTGTTGAACCATTTCTCATTCCACAAATCTGCGACACGTCCAGCAGTGATGAAGCGTCCGCCTAATAGTCTCCGACCTCTGACGGATGTGCGGAGGACAGAGAGCAGGCAAGGGGGGCCGAGAGAGGCTTTAAATGATGGAGATGACATCTGACAGTGCAGATGTCACCCTGGATCTTCTGGAGGTGTCGTGCTGTTGGACACGTTGTTGATTGCAGGCCTAAGTACGAGGACTCGTCCCGTGGGAGAGGAGTGTCAAAGAGAGACGAAGAAGAGGAGGGGGAGGAAGGGGGACGGACAATTGGGACATTAGGAACGTAACTGCATCAAGACGTCTGAAAGAAATGTGCTCTGAAAAACAGAGGATGTGAAAAGATAAGACAAACCCCGCAGAATTTTTAAACAAACCGTTTGGAGAGCTCAAACCTTCAAACTCATTAGTCCCTCATAACTCAAGCTGTAAGAGATAAACCCAGCACTTCATAAATCCCGCCCTGGACACAGTGTTCGTCTGTCCGCCTGCCTGTCTGTCTTTATCGGTGTGCTGGCCGGTAGCTGAGGCTCGATAAAGGCCTGTTCTGTTTACTGACGCACTCAAAGGAGCCAGCTCTCACTTCAAAGTGGCCCCTGGATTTAGAGGGCAAAGTTCACGGCCTGCATCTGAACCAGGGCGGCAGAGGGGGCGCTTCGGGATGTCATGAGGAAGGACGGCCACATCACCGAAAGCTTTTGTATTCGGACATCTTCCTCCATTCCACAAATCTGTGGCAAGTCCAGTGATGGACATAAGAGTAGCAGATACAGGTACTCCTTACATATAAAGGATACAGGTACTCCTTACATATAAAGGATACCAGTAATATATGCCACAACGTTCCTTAGCTTTTGAGGGATATCAATCTAAACGGCTGATTAGCAACCCCACGTCATCAGAGGATTCCTATAAAGGCCTAAATTTTAACTTCTGCACCCAATTCCTGTTTATTGCTGAGATTTGTCTCACTTCATCTTATACACACATTTAGTGCAAACCAACATTTCGATGTACAGATCACTTAGACATACAGTAGAAAAGCAAACAGAGTCTTTTGTGCAACAGGGGGAAATGGGATAAACAAATCTGTCGTTGTAAATAGCAGATTAAGGAGTTTTAAGTTGGGCCTATTGGGTTGAACTTACTGGCAGGAAGAGTGAAAAAAAAGTTTTCGCAGGAACTGGAAGCATCTCATTAAAGACATTCCCAGCATATACTGTTTATAAACAGGCTCTTGTTCATCGCTGGTGATGGATGGATGTGTCCTGCTGCTGACTCCCCCTCTAACAAGCTTTCTGCCACTGTTTCACCACACACACATCACTACGGACCCGATATTTTATGTTTCAGTATCACCTCCTCGCTGGGTGGGCCATCGCCATTTTTAGGTTGTGCGATTTCAAGGAGGAGGGAGCGTGTGTGTGTGTGTGTTAGGAGGCAGGACGCCGCGGCAGAAGAGTCAGCGAGATTCTGCTAATGAAGAAAAACGGCCAGGCTGTCAGGAGCAGGTCAAGGTCACGCAGAGGAGTCCATGTCGCACTTTTTAGATTCTCATTTGTACGATTTTCTGAAAAATCATTTCCTTTTCATTAGATATGTTTTGCATCGTGCCACTGTCTAATGAAATCCAAATAACGTTGCATTAAAATGTGTGATTGTGACAAAATGTGAAAAGTTCAAGAGGAGGAAAACCTACAAGGTACTGACATCTGAGGAGGGAAAAACCTGCAAGTAGCGAGTCGTACACAAAACCACAAGGGAGAAAACATCGTCTTCATTTTGTTTATTTCTTTACAGTACACAGACCGACTAGATATGTTTATCATTTCCAATATAAAACCAACTTTCACATCAAAATGTGCAAAATCAGACAATAAAATGTGCAAATTAAAGAGGCACACAAAAATTGTTTTGAGATAGTTTTAAAACTCAAGAAGTGCAATCAAAACTGGTCATGCATCTTCGCAGGAACATCGAGTAAAAACCTGAAACTACGAGGAAAATATGAACGGTCTGAATAAAAGATCTACCATCCACGTTTCTTTCTTTTCCTCAGGCTCTAGTGTCTGAAAAGAGGGGAGACATGCGGCACATATTGTCGAGTCTGGGAGTCGAACCGGCTACGGCCGCGCCGAGGACTCAAGGCTTCCAAATGTGGGTGGTGCTATCCCCGACGCCGCCACAGCACGCTCAACTAGCAACATTTCTGACACGTAAGGTTAAGGGGGAGCAGCTGTAACTACAAGGTAAAGTCTTAAAAAGGACAATAGCAGAGAGCAAAGTTATTCTGGCACATTTAACCACCACAGACAGGGTTGGATGTGGTGGTTCAGAAACTTTACAGCACCGTAGATGTTTCAGAGAAAACATCTGTGGAATGGCCTAGTCTGCCAAACACCATCGACATTTACAGGATGCTCGACGTTATGAGTCAAAGCTCCGCGTCTGAAACCCAAACATTAAAAGGCGGATAAAACAAGAATTTTTACCGGTACTTCCATTGCGGCAATAAAAAAAGTCCCATGTGTAAACATTAATCAGGACGAACATTCAATAAATAAAAACTAAAACTTGACGGGTTACAGTTTGCGTGTGTTGACCGAGTGAGCTTGATCGGAGATCCTGGAGCTTCTCCTCCGTCCGGCGGTTCAGCTCGGGATCAGGGGCGCCGTCTCATCAGTTCCCAGGCTCCCGTTCACATTCTGAACCGGAGCCTTACGGTAGATCAAGAACTGCACTGAGATCTGAGCGGCAAGGTTAAGGAAACAAATGAAACATAATTTAGTCTGGAAACTGTGATATTTTCCAGTAATCCGTTTGTTTTTCAATACCTATCCACATGTAGAAATGACTTAACTTTCATACTTTTCTAGGCGAAGTCATGGATCTCATATTTTGTGTTTCTAAACTGAAATCAGGCGTGTTCACAGTGCAGTCCAACACAGTTGGTGGTTGGCTGGATCGCCGGCACCACGTTTGGGACTTCAAAAGGTTTAAATCGAGGCTAAAACCCCACCTGTTAAGAGTTGCCTTTGATTAATAATATGTGGAACACTGATGGGTTTTTTACAATAAGAAAAAAACAACATCTGGTCAGCAGTAAATTTCTGATACTCTATTAGCACTTGTTGCACAGATCAGTGTGTAACTCCATTCCTGGATCCACTCAGTACTAATCTATGTGCTTCATTTGGCTGCGTCAGCAGTTGCATGCTGAAAAAGATTTTTCCACTCATTGATATGTTGCTTATTTTGGGCAAAGACTGCAGCTGCAGCTTCTTCTGATAAACACTAATGGTGGAGGTTTGTGACACAGCAGCCACCAGGGGGCGCTGAGGCAAGCCCTTCACTCCCGTTTCCCACAGATCTGGGGATCCAGTGTATTCACTACTGAATATGTTTCAACCAGAGGATGCAGAACAGAAACTGACAGCCATCATCTCTACTTGGCGCCTTGTGCAGCAGCACCTCTCTGTGGAAGGATACGATGAGGTCCAGGCTGAGCGTTCCCAGGCTGCCGATGAGCCAGGGGAGGTGGTGGACCAGGTAGCTCTTCTCGCCCCAGCCCTGCTCAGGGTTCTTCAGTAAGACACTCAGGCCGTAGGTGGTGTTCCCCAAAATGACGAGCGCAAACAAGAAGTAAGACACTCCCTCCGTCGACTTCCTCTTAAACTGCGACGAGAAACGAGACGACCTTAAGGGAAGTGAATCGTCTGATCGAGGGACGTGCAACGCTTTCATTTTCTGCCTACTCATATTCATGTACACATCGTCACACAGGGAACAGCAGCTTTGTTTTATGTTGGATTAGATTCACTTCCCCTTTTGCATTCTCAGTTAACAAGAACAATGAATCTGTTGTTTTGCTCACAGAGTTCTTCAGTAATGTGTTATACACAGAAGATGGACCATGTTCTTTGGAAGACATGCTTTTCAGTACTTCAGCGAAATGAAAACTTTGACCAGTTCAGATCCCAATTGGTCTCTATGCATTCCCACTTTGATCCTTCTAATTTACTAAAAAAATGAACTTTTCTAAGCAAATGTACTTGAACTATGGCCAATGGCAACGCTCTGCAAGCTGCTCTTTTGTCAACGGTTCTTAATAGCATGGACTAAAAATGATAAAGAACAACTTACGTTTTAAAAATAGACATAATAATAAATGCAGGTTTTAACTGTTTTCCAGGGTTTTTTCCACAGAATAATTACATTTAATTTCCACAGCAGAATGGCATTAAAGTTACCTGTCATTTTTATTTACATCTATGTTTCTCATTCCGAGGCTGGAAATTACGTGCAAACATCAACGTTTCTGAACATGCTAGCCCAGGTTCTTACATCCCTTGGCTTCTGAAGAGTTTATTGTCTTTATTGTAGCTCGAGATTTTCAGGAGCCACATAGATAAACCGTCGTAAAGAAAAACTGCTGAACTCTAATTCAATTTAATTGAAAGTCAAATCGGACACGGCACGACCAAAACTGCAACGGCATGAAAGGGCAAAGGGGTAAAAGTGGTAAACGGCATCAACATTCCTTAAACATATTTGCAGACCTGCTTGTCTTACTCACATTTGTGTGCATTTGTGGCAGCCTAGAGAAGAGGTAGAGGACCGATGACACCGACCCAATGGAGAAACCAATAATCTCTTTAGGGGTAAAAGGCTGGGGTAAAGAGGGGTAGATTTAACGTTACCACAAACCCAAAACATCCAGCTAGACAAAGCTAGTTAACTTCATTTAGATAAGTAGACTATAACAGGTCTGACCTTAATAGCGCTCGCATCAGCGGTTGAGAGCAAAGAGCGGCTCCTGAACCCAGAGAAGATCATTTCAGGTTCGGGGTCGAGCCCAGGGCGGAGGGCCAGACCAGCAGTGAGGCCCAGAACGCAGGAAAAGCCCACAGCGTTCAAAACTGTTCTCCCTGGTGAAGAGGCGAAAGCAGAGGTCGAGACACAAGTACATAAAACTGAAGCAAGTGCAAAAAACATTGTATTAGAGATGTTGACTCACTGCTTATCAGTCAGAAACATGTAAAGCTCATTATTAGCACATAAGTATTTCAAATTAAGTTATTATAGCCATCTCTCCAAAATGTCTTACTGGGACCATATCAATATCCAATACTAATATTGCTCTAGTTTATTTTCATTTTTATGGAAATAAATACTAGTTCTTAATATTGGCCCAGTTTTATTTATCGGACCGTTACCAGCATATTGATAAATGACTACTACTGGCCAACACCATTATAAGAGTCAATATTTTGCTAATCATCATTGAGCATAAACAGTGTATTATTGCCAGTTAGTGTATTTTATGTGTGGCTGCAGGTTTTGTGAGGAGCCTCAGTGTTTCCATGTATGAACTCGTACTTTGTTGTTGTTACTGCAGACGCTGATGTTAAATACGGTCCAAACGAACTGGACCATATCTAAGAATACCCAATAAGGTAAAAACGAAACTTTCACTGACGAAAATAAAAAAAATACTCACTGTGAGCCACCACTCTGTGCCTCATTTTGTAGTACGTGTACATGGCGAGCATCAGCAGGTCAGCCAAGACATAATAAATCGCTGTGTAGGTCTATATGACGAGGACAAACAGGTGAACAAAAACTAGTGAGCTCAGATCCTTCAAGCTGACTAAAATGACTAATTAATACAAGAATATGCCATAACATTGTGATTTCGTAAATAAGAATGCAATTTATGGTCATTTATTAGCATTCTGGTAAAGTTACTTTAATTATTTTAAAGGCAAAAACCATAAAAGATTTCTTTAAAATCATGAATACTGAACATGTGACAAACTTGAAATAAGAAAGTTAAGTTGTTTATGTAAAAAAAAAACAAAAAAAAAAAAACAATTACCTGAAGTGGAAGCTGGTCAGCCAGAAAGGAGCCAATCAGATTGCAGGAATCGCCTCCCAACCACAACAGCAGAAACCAAACTGACAGTGCACTGTCCATATTCCCCTTTTTACAGGAACTATAGTACTGACTGTAACCATACAGAGAGCACAATGGACTTAACATGACAATTAAACAAACTACAAAACTAAAAGAGCAAACCCTTACGGAATAGAAGACACCATGAAACAGACGATGGACAGGAGGCCCAGGCAGACGCTGGCCATGTCCCTCCCATCCTGGGCGCATTCCCCCAGGCCTTCCCAAACCCACTGGGAGCCGTTCGGACACAAGGAGGTGAAGTTTCCTGAATCTGTCCATCCGGGCAAACTCTGGGTGAAGACGTTGCCTTTCCACATAGTATGCTGGCCAAGACACAAGTCCATTAGTGAATACTAGATTATAAGTTTTAATTCTAGAAATGCACCAATTCAATAACCAGAGAGGAATATCCTAAATCTTAATTATTTCTGATGGGTGAGTCGCAGATCAAACATGAAAAAAAACATTGACTTTTCCCGCCCTCTTTCTTTAGTCATGAAATGCTTATAAAACAATAACATAGTAATAACACCACAATCACCTTTAGGGGGCCATTCATGCTTAAAAACTACTCAAAACAAAAAAAAACAAGAGGAACAACATTGCTCCCCCATGATGAAAACCACTCACAGCCTTTTGTCTTCAACAATGCATTGACATTGTGACAATGCATTGTTGACTCAATGTCAACAATGCATTGTGTTAGTACCACTTTCGGAAATACCACTTTTAATTACTTTTTCACATTGTGCAGGGTTGGTTCTGATCGCTGTCTATGCAGTTAATGAAGGCCATATGAACTCCAAATCTGCATTTTGTAGTAAAATGAGCTTCATGGCCTAAAACGAATCTGTCCATCCAGACTAAAGAGAAACCCACAATGAATATACAAATGTCGAACTTTTTTTTTTACTGCATGGTTTGAGGCATAATTTGTAAGTCATTGTGGTTTCTTCATTTTTGTCTGAATTCAAAGCTACTGCCCCAATCAAAGAACATAAAGTGCATGTTTTCTTTTTATAAATATTAAAGTATTTAAAAAAGAAGTAGAAAGGCAAGAAATGCAAAACATAACAAAAAGAACAGGACTTTGAATAGGCCAGGAGACGTTTGCTTCCTTGTTGCATTTCTGTCAATGTCGCACATTAAGTCTTCATACAAAACGTTTTCTAAACAGATACTCCAGTAAAATACTGACGCTGTCCTTTAAAAGAAACCAAAGTAAACATGGTTTTCCATCTGCGACTTCCTCAGATAGAACAAACACGAGCAACATCAACTAATACAGAGATTAGCAACCAAAGCTATCTACGCTGCCTCCCATACCTCACCGTATCGGCTCAGTTTTCCGCCAACAACGTGGACATCAGTAAATTTTTGTGTATTTGTTGTTCGAATTGCCCGTGTGGCCGCCTCGATACGGAGGTTATGAAGAACACAATAAACAACAGCGACGTCGTTCTGTCCGCCCAACGATTGGCTGATGTCATAAAAACGTATCCGCAAACGTAATCAAGAGCACACGTGACCAAATATGGCAGGCCGTTTGAACATAAATTCCGTTTTGTCTTACTATCCGTAATTACGTTCCTGAAAATGCATTTCGACTAAATAAAACCACACGTTGACTATCCGGAATTGTAATTTGAGACATCTGCATTTACATACTGACTAGTAATTATTATAATTCAAGCTATCTTCAAAGGACATATCAAATGACGTCATTAGACCTGACGTTTAAGGTACGTAATTACAATTTGAGATTCCTTTAACATAATTATGACGAGTCAAAATGACAATTTTAGGTACCTGAATTCAGAAGCCCCTTTGTGCTGTCCAAACAGTTGCCTGCAGAATTTTGTTTGCTGCACAAAATTATCTGTAAGCGCCACAAAATAGAACGAGCTCAACAATGTTGGATATGTATGGAGTGAAAATGGTCTCAAAATACCCGTGCATGTGTAAAAATATCTGTGCGTGTGTAATACTGGATTTGCGAGGTTGTAGTTACAAAGTTTGTGTGTAGAAATGTAGTTTGTAGAAATTGTAATTGCGTGTGTACTTTTGCTTTGTATTCGTAAATATCTCAAATAGATATTTTGTCTGGTAAAAACATAGAGATATCCTGAATAGCTAAAACGTATAGCCATAAAACAATTCGAGGTGTCTTGCATGTAAGGGCGGCAAAACAGAAATTATGTTGAAACGACCTGCCATATGTCCCAATTGAGCAAAGCTCCAAACTACGACAATAAGAAAGAAAAAGAAAACTACCGCACTTCTCAGCACATATAAGCAGCCTCATTAACCTACGTTATAACTCTGTAGCTAGTTCTAAGAGGAAATTATCCTTTTTTCCCCCTCGAACATTAAATGACAAAACCCGCCAAAGATCATAGAACTAGGTTCGCATTATTTATAAAAAAAAATGGACACAGAGGAAGGAGACAACCTACCTGGAAGGTTATTAGAGTCCGAAGCTGAATGTGAAACACAATCCGCTTGTTGTTTAGTGGGTTTGTTTGGTCCTGCTCGGGTGTCAGCTGACCCGGTCAGACTGACGACTCAGCACCAAGTTCACTGATGTCAGCACGAATGATTTCTTGAAGGTTTCCCGAACCACGTGCTCAGTTCCGAACATAGTCAACCCAGGCATGCAACAGACGCGAATCAAATCCTGAACCTGCACCAACACGCCTGGTGATCACCCATGAAAGACGTGAGAAAGTCAGCAGAACGTTCTGTGACTTCAACATAAATCATATTTATGATTTATGTTGGAGGAGGAGAAGAAAAGAACTATAAATATTTCTGAAAAGTTTTACATCTCTCCCCCCCAGTTACAACTACAAAATGTATTTTGTTCGGATTAGTCAGATCCTCCACAAGTTTAGTGAAATCGTACCAATGGCAAGAAAAGAGACCATTGTTGACAGAAATCCGATTTGAAGTTTTCCACAAACCAGACAGAAAATGTGGAAGGTGGATCTGATCAGAGATAATGAACATTTGACAAACTTCCAGAAAACTACAAAACACCTGAAACACTGAATTCCTTTAAATCTAGACTTAAAACTCAGTTGTTTAGTTACTTTTGAGACCTAATTATAAAAAGTTAATCAATAATCTCATGTGCAAAATGTTGACTTGTGTGTTCTGTGACTGTGTTTTGAAATGCCTTGTTGCTGAAAGGTGCTACAGAAATTAAACACCATACACACGACTGACCTTGGTGGTGTCAGCATTATGTTTATCCACCTTACAGGAACATGGAAGGTGTCCAATTGATGAAAGATCAAAGCCACTACAGGATGATTTAGATTCAACGCATGATTATGTATTAGAGGTCCAAAATCTAGACTTTAGAGAATCTACTTCAGCATGTGAAGGATTTCACAAATTCTTTTTGTTCAACAGGTATGAATACTTTAATATAATCGTTTGTTGCACTTCTTCTGAATCGCCACAGTAAACTTGATTGTTTGAACGAATATTGCCATTTAGCTTCCAGATGTTTTTGTTGCACCTGCAGTGGTTAAACTTACGGAAACGACAACCTGCTGAACAAATATTTTCCTCTGGTGTACTTCCAAGAACAGGTTTTATTGACGCACCAAAACACCTATACTGTAGACTCTCTTATGTACACGTTTCCACAAAGTCATACAAATACTCAGTAGGCTCAATGTCAAAGCATAGATAATATACATCAAACTGAATAAGTCAAGTTAAATGCTTTTATAAAGAAATTGTTACAACTCTACAAATGCAAATGGATGATAGAAAATGAAACAAATCAATCAGCTGGTAGCTACAACCAGAACAAGAAGTCCTACTTCAAAATCTGTACAAGCGGGTCACTGTCCTCAAAATAGAAGATCCGTATTTACGCTCTTGGGAGGAAAAAGAATAAAATATGACAGAAGACTTGTAAATACTTTCACTCCAAGGCAACAATCTAATGAGGTTGTTTAGAAAACGTCATACTTATTGTCTCCAAAATAATAATAATAAAAAAAAAAAAGAGGATGGGAGATGAAAGGAAGACAGTCTTTTAACTTCTCGCTTCTTTACGCTGGGTTTTTACTTGATGTGAACGAGCTTCTCGTCCGTTTTCAACCGTTTGCGTCGAGGCTGAATGAAGTCCTCCTCGGAGTCCTCCGTGTCCACCTCCTCCCTCTCCTTCTCGTCGGAGGACCCGGGCTCCGGCGAGTCGGGGAAGTGTTGATCCGGGAATATGTCCTGCAGCTTCTCCTCAAAGTACAGGCTCACCGCCTTACCAGATATCGCCATCTCTGATCCCGCCTGTCGGAGAAGGAACAGTAGGAGGAGGAAAAGGTCGGAGGAGAAGAAGAGCGTGAGGAGTGACAGAGAAGGAAAGGTGTGAGTACCGTTGAGTGTGGGCAGGGTGGGGGAAACATGAGTGGGTTGGAGGCAGGAAGGAGGAAGAGGAGAATGAGGAGACAAATTAGATTTGGTTAAGACTCCTGGTGGCAAAGCGGCCCCAGCTCAACCTTGCTGTACAGAGCGAGGATGTCCTGCCTTCCGGTCCCACTGTGGCTCCATGAAACCTCTCCGCTAGTGACTTACAGGTCAAAGAGGCCGTTTTCAACAATACCCACCGAAACAAACAAAAGAAAAATCTATTCCATAAAACGAGATTTCCAGGGTTGCGTAAGAATGTACTGAAGAGCTTTTCCACCTCATTAGGGACAGAAAGAACAGCTAACCTGCATTGATCAGCAGTAACATGAGACTATTTTGAAAGCCTCAACACAGCTGAAGATAAAATCTGAAACAAATCTGCACCACTGACGTTAATTCAACAGTTTTAACTGTAAGTGTCCCAATACAATATTCTTTTCCTTCCAATACGATACGGACGACCGAGCTTTGAGTATTGGATGATACCAACCCAATGTGACATCGCCATGAATAATGTATACTCTTATTGCTTACTCTGTATTGAGGAACGTTAGAAAAGGCTTCATAAAGTGACATTACTCAGAGAACAATAGTCAAAAGCAATAGGCATGAGAACAATTGATCCATTTATTGTTAACCAATGGGTGTGTGTTCAGGATACGAGTGCTGCTGGATAGAAACTGGGACTGAATAAATGCTGGAGCGGAGTGCTTCCATGAAATTTTAGATACTTGTTTATTGGATGATACTGGACTGAATTCCAATATCAGCATTAGGTACCTATATCATGCATGCACTAAAGCACATCTGCTTCCAACACTATCTTGAAATACAGTACAGTCAAACTGTACATAAGGCTTTTTGTTTAAAAACGTACTCACTGCCAGAAGCTATGTACTGAGGGCACTGCATAAAAACTAACAAGTTTCAGAATTGTTCCTGCTGATTTATTTATAGAGCCGACTTCTGTTATGGAAAACTTGCCTAAAATCTTACTGTAAAGGTAAAGACCGACATTCTTCAATGAGCACATACAGAAACTGGTGTTTTATCTCCAATACCAGGTGCTAACGATTCTCTAAAATACAACTTGTGTAGTTTTGTGTTTTGCTTTAATATATTTAAGAGTCCTGTAATGTCTGCTGTCTCTGCTCTTAATACGGAAAATTACTGGCCCCTGCATAAAAGGCCAAACCTTTATGAAACCGGTGATTGCGAATTGGTCGATATGCGGTGCATTTCTACAGATTTCTTTCTCCATTCCTCCAATGTGTTTTGTGCCGTTTAATTAAGGCGTATTCACAGTAAACCTGGTAACTAGCATCCCAGATATTTCTTTGAAAATTGAAACAGCTTTAGTAAAAATTGTTACTGAAATAAACTGCTAAACGTGACAGTAACAGAGGATGCTAGTTCTCCTATCAGTTTTACAGTATTTCTTTCACTTTGGTCCAAGATGAACTCAACTGGAAACAATATGTCAGACAAAAACAACCAAAAAAACTCAAGACTGACAGATCCTGCACCAATACTCCACCCTGGACGCTAAAGGAATATTTGCATAAACAGCACACTATCTAAAACTTTACTGAGTGTTGATAAAACTAACCATTCATACAGGTTTAGTCTTTTTGCATATTTAAATGCTTTTTTTTTCTTGTGCAACTTTGTGCCTTCTACTTTTGAGCAACTTAAATGAGGCAAGCACACATTCAAACTGCCTTGAACAGCTCATTGCAGATCGACACTGAAAGTTAATAAAAGCTCCTTTGTGTTAGTAATGTAAAACAAACTTGCCCCATATGGTTAGTTTCTTAAATGTGAAGTCTGCATTTTTTTGCAATATTGTTGCTAATATTAGTTTGCTTTAAGTCGGTGAGATTTATAATACCATTTTCTGTCAGCAGCATATTTTCATGTTACACTTATTTGCTGTTTTAAGCCAGCAAAATATAAAGCGAAAACAGTAACAGAAAAAGTGAAAGAAAAACAAACTTAGTGACCCGTTTTGTGACTTGATGAGAAATAAGATCTGTCAACCAATTTTCAACATTGCTTTTTTCTTTTTTTAAAGCTGTATTGAATCTAAAGGCAGCTGCTAAAAGGTTCACTCGGGTCGTTTCCACACATTTCTTGGAGCCTCAGTGGGAGGGAGCAGGATGTAGGCGCCCCATTTGAAACGGCTTACCTGGGTATTAATCTCTTTCTCCTCATCATAAACTTGGATTATTCGAGACATCTAAAGGGGGTAATAACATTACAACAAAGACAGTGAAGCAGGAGGAGGAGAGAAGAATTCATAGCACAGGAAAGTTTAGTTCATAACAGATAAAGAAATCTGTTTCTTTTAAACTGTGCTCAGTTAAATCACCCAGTAAAAAAGTGCAATCAATTAACAATCAATACAGTGAAGGTTGCAAACGACAAAAGGAGAGCGTGGTCGCTTGCCAAACTTTTTCCCCTCTGTATACGTTTCACCATGTTGTTTTCCAGTCCAAATCATATGCATTCAGTCGCCTCTTCAGTTTTACATGATGTTTTTCTCAATGAATGAATACCACCAGGTGCACTTAATAAATATCTACAGTAAATATCATTTAATAAATACCTAGAAAACTTCCTCTCTCATTAAGAAAATGGATGTTTTCTCTTGCAATGAAAGACAACCGTGTGGTTTACCGATGTGAAGCAGTGGTAGAGCAGTGTTAGTAGTGAGTGATGGCAAATGTGAAAAGAAGTTGAGATGCCTTTAAACTCCACTTGACAATAATTAGTGCAAGCGAACAAAACTGCAAGCATCACAACCAATACGCCAGGTTCAAAATGGGGTTAGAGTAATGAGCATACAAGAGCATCTTTTTGAAATATCATGGGAAAGTTAGTTCATAATGTGACATTCCAATTTTGCAGAGATGAATGGTGATGGATTAATTTGCTTTCTGAAGATTGTGGCCAACAGATGATGCTAAGCCAAAAGTTAACTCCTCTGGAAACTGATCAATAAAAACAAAAGGAATATGGACATATTAGGTTACAGCCTACACAATCCTGTTAGCCCACTGACAAAGAAGCTATCATGGCATATCAAAGCTAAATTCATGTAAAAGTTTTGTGGAAAAAATCTTTTCTACTACAAAAGTAGAAAAGTAACTTCTCCCTGGAATCCTCCAATGGTCAGGTTAAATACAAAATAAAAATAATATGAATGACCAGGTGGTAGAAATGTGGAATCGCTACTCTTGGATGGTAATAAATTTAATCAAAAAAAAAAAAAAAAATGAAACCATAAGCAGCTTGGTGGAGAGGTGAAATCAAGAACCATATATATATATATATATATATATATATATATAAAGATTTGATGTTTAAATTACATTTAAAAGTCAAAAGAGGAACTTCTCTTTTAAGCTACGTCTCAGATTGATCATATAAAATGTCCTCATCACTGCTTCCATGTAGCACCACTCTGTTTTTATTGACTTCATATATTTAACTTTCTTCTATGTAACTAAATGCTCATTAAAAGTTTAAATGAATAAAATAAATGCTACAAATACATAATATTTTGCATTCTGTAAACCTGCTGATCGTCATCTGAAGTTAACCTTTATGTTCATCACTTGCACAGGCTTTATACATCTCAAAAAATGTAACTATTGTGAAAAAGTTCAATGTTTTTGTAACTCATTTCAGAAAGTGAAGCACATACCCAGCTCATCCGTCAGCCATGAAATTAGTTTGTAATTTTCAGTCACAAAGATTACAAGAAACAAAGGCTCAAAATATTTCACTATGCCTAGCAAAGCTATATAAGTATGAATTTTATTTTCTGAAATGAGTGATAAAAATGTCAAATCTTTCACAATTTAAGTTTGTTCTGTTAAGTTTGTATTGTATATAAGAAAGAATGTTTTAAACATTTTTAATTTTGTTCTTTTTGGTGACACTTTTCTTGCTTTTGACCTATTGCTCCAACTGTAACAGAAGGAGAAACTATTTTAAGGGATTTTGTAAGCTCACATCCAAGAGTTTAGATTCTATATTTTCCAATAGGATTGCATAACGTCCTTGTACATCAGTGTGACTTGTGTCTGCATGCAAAATTTTAGTCACTGCCAAGCAGGTTGAAGACTCATGCTGCTCACCTCGTTGTATTTTGCGCAATTTTTGAAGATAAGGCGCATATCATCCACAAACTCCTGTATGGATTTGTAATACTGAGAGCTTCGCAGCTGCAGCTTCTTCTTCACCTTCTTTAGGTCCATGGGCTGCTTAATTATCTTGTAGTAGTTGGGCACCTAGATCCAAAGACAGAGGTACTTTACATATTGAAATATTTCAAATAAAAAAACTGTTTATAAAATTGAGGTGTAGGCTGGGGAATCTGGAAAAGAGTACAAATGTAAGATTTCTACTTCAGATTGTACACGTGAAAATACAAAGCACAATATCAGCAAAAAGGCAGTTAAGAGACCATCCAGTTAGCTAGATGCATTATATTTACACTAACCGAGTTGGACTGGATTGTTTACCTACATTTATGTTAAGGAAAAAAAGGGATGCACCTTTAAAAATATTTAGTTTAGAGAGATAACCAAATGATAAAAAAAAAGACAGACGTAAAAATTATCTTTGATTATCATTTATGAATTGCTGAAAGAAGTACAGCAAGCAGTGAAATATTTGTACATGTTGGGACTACGGATGGCCACTGTGTTTTAGTTAACAGTGTTTAAAATATGACTCGATGCTTGACTAGCTCTGGTTACACACCTTGATGTTCTCATATACAATAAATCTGTTGGTGTGTGTGTATACATGTTCTATGCAACTGTAGACATGGTATCATAATAAAATTGGGCCTGCACATTGGCTCAAGCCCAGGGCCCACGCAATCCTATGTCGGGCCCTGATGGGATGCCGATCTCTACTGTTTTTCTCTACTGTGAGAAACAGTAGAAATGAATGAAACTGTGAACTAATAAGTTAGCGAATTAAAGCAAAAACTATTTAGAGATCATGAATGTGGTGGCTGCTAAGATAAGTAAAATATTTGATGTTATTCATGTGCGGAAGGTGGGAACACTTACAGAGCTTGCAACAGGTTCCCTGAAGCCCATGCTGAGCTCATGACAGAAAATATACAGGAGCAGGCGTTCACATCTCTGCAGACAGAAAAAGACAAAGTTACATGTCTTGTAGTCGTCATGAAGACTTTGATTTGATGTTTTGACAGTGCTGACCCGCTGGTCTTCAGGACTCAGGCTCTGATCTCCTTTGGTCCTCTTGCTTTCATCACAATACTCGATCTCTGGGTCAGTTGTACTCCGGCAGAATGTGCAGAGAAATTCACCTCTAAGGGACAAACACCACACAAAGTAGAGCCTTTAGATTAATCTAGTTTACCAAAATATGGCCACAAAGTTGAGCGTTCCGAAATTTTACTTTGGCAAAACATACAAACGCACAGGATGCACTTACTGTGGGAAGATTTTTATGGTGGGAACGTGGCATTTCATGTGGAATACTTTAGGACAGCGGTCACAGCACAGAAGATCACCGCCGTTGATACAAACAGCACACCAGTCTTCATTGGGGTCGTCATCTTTTCCGCCCTGTGCTCCATCATGCGACCCACTTCTTTTGACTAAGTTTCCATTGGTGAGTCCAGAGCCCGTCTGGCTTGTCGCAGTGTTGGTGGAAGACGACGTGCCGTTCAGTCCAGAGCAAGACGTCTCAGACATGGGCTCCGTTTTGACGCGTTCGCCAACGTCCCTGTAAGCATCTGGCCCTGCGGATGGAGCTCCCAGTGGGCTGCTCTCTGGACTGCTCATCTACAGCGACAGCACAAAGGTGCACTTTTTTAGAGAAATGGTTTTATGGTGCATAAATTAAACCTGCCACTTTAACATCGAAACATGCAACGGCATTAAAGCTGGACAATAAATCTTCAATTTTGTTCACACCAGATCTGATTTTAATGGATTTTTTTCTTTCCTCGCTTTCTTTCAAATAATAAAATGACAGGAAATATTTTCAAAAAAGTGACTTCATTTCATTTTGTGAATGAAAATGTTTATTAAATTACAAGAATATAGTCATACTATGAGCAGAATAAAGTTATAGTTGTACCTGAAAAACGTCTTAAAAATAGAAGAAAAAAAGCATTGCTGACTTTATTAGGATGTGATGTGACGAGTAGTTCTTTCTTGAAAATAGACTAGGTCTGTTGTGAACAAATATAGAATTCTATTGGTTATTCTTATGATTTATTGAGTAATCGGATAAAAAAAATTATAAACGAAAATATTGGTAAATCTAACATAACCGTGTTACTATCAGATATCAACATCAGTCCAATTTTTTATATTTGAACTTCCCTAACAATAACTTTTCTGTAGTTTAGAAAATTAACTCATAACAATAGTAGCTCACTTTCTAAGTTAACCTGAAGAAAAATTAGAGAAGAATCTGAAATTACATTCAATTTAATACTAAAGATGCTCACAAATACACTTAGGAAAAAATGTCTATACATACTCCTGTCTTTTGTTTATGTCCTTTATGCATTCATCTTCAGTTAATCTAACAGATTAACTCTCATCTTGCCCAGACATTTATGTCCATGTTAGCTTCGTTCGTCACTCACAGAATTTCATCTACAAGCTATGTACCGCCATTTGTTGAGATCAAGATAATATGAAATTTATTTTCAACTACAGATCAGCAGTTTTCAGTCTATCCTGTATGAATACACCTGCAGCACTCTTCCCCACCGTTTGCTCTGAACCGCCGCCAGGCAGCAGCTCAGGGAGGAGAAAAGACTACTATATCCTTAAAAATGATCATTTTAAGGATAATTATTGGTCCTCAATAAGAACTCGAACAATATCATCAATTAATAAAATCCTCCCTTGAAAATCAGATGTTATGCTGCAAACACTTAGCTTTCGTCAACAACTCAGACGGAAGTGAAGCTTTGAGGCAGATAAATTTTCCTCGAGGAATTTTAATGATCAAGGTACTCGAATCACTCAAGGAATTGTTACAGCCCTGAAATAGACAATAGTTAGGACAATCAATTCTGCAATGGAAAATAATTTGTGATTTAGAGTATAGTGTCATGTATTACCTCTAAAACTTACGCCAAAGAACAACTTTACAAGATGCTCAATATTTCTCATTTTAATTTGTAGTTATTTTTATTGATGGATCTCTCATTAAATCACCAATTTATTCTCATTAAATGTTTTTAATCTGGTAACAATACAAGGGCATTCTTGTAATATGTTAATATCATGTTGTTATGTTATTTTTGTTAAGAAATTCAAAGTTGAAATAAATAGAAGCTGTAAAACATGCTTGTCAAACAAGATGGCCGCCTTGAGTGTAATGACATTTATTGCCCAGCCTTAGTGAAAATATATACAAAAGAATTTTGACCCAATTATCTGAGCAGTAACTATATTTAAAACTGAAACATTCATTTACATTCTGCCAGGGAATGGTTGTCCGTACCATGCAGGCGCTCCTCCCAGCATCTTTGCCTCGCTCAGTCTTCACAGAAGAGGAGCAGCTGTAGTCATCCTCAGTGCAGGGTTCTTTCTTCACCTTTAGCTGCTCTGCAGCAGATCCACCACCTGTCCCTGCTCTGCCAGCAGAGCTAGAACTGAAAACAAACAAAACCCAGACATCAAAATATTAGTGAACCTGATAAAACTCACCATAAAACTCATACCGCTCTCTTTACGCTCACAGATTATAAATCCCATTATAATCTGGGCCTTGTAATCATTATAAAGCCCATTATAAGACTGTGGCAACATAGATTTTTTTCCTCCCCAATCAAAACTCTGTAAAACCTACGGTAAACCAGCAGGTGGCCATTTGGATGAAGTTAGTCTTATGACATTTTTTACTGTTCTCTCTCAGTTATTTCAGCAATTTTTAATTCGTAGTTTACTGGAAACCGGGGGGGCAGGACAAACCGAACATAAATAAACCATGAAAATCCCTGCTGCTGTTTTTGTTTCCACTGGGGCTGCACAATGTTATGGAAACATAATATTTGATGATATTGGTAAATGTTTCAATAACACGATGACCAGCAAAAAATAAACAAATATTTAAAATGTTTGTCTTTTTGCTTTGGGTTTATAGCAAACATCAAGTTATCCCAGCTACTGGGGGGAAAAAACTAACATTTTCATACATAAGATTGCCATTGATACAATTCAGCTGTAGCTTTTTTTTTAACAACTTCACCAACAAACATCCTAAAATGTTTGTTATACTGGATTAGTGTCACCAAATATATAGAAATACACAAAGAATGCACGGTTTTGTCTTAGTTTTTTACCACAAAACTACAGTGTGGACACAATTCAAATCCGGACTCTATCTCATAGTTTTTAATATTGCAGGAAAATATATAAAATCATGTTGCAGAGATGTTAATGTGCGCAATATCCCAGTCGCTACTGATCACTTTAGAGAGCGCAATGCAAAAATTTATATTTTAAGATTAAAAGAATCTTTTGAAAAGACCTCTGAAACAGACATTTAACATAATTTTCACTAAGTTCACATTTCTGTATCAAATATAGTTTCTGTGTTGATCTGATGTAATATTCTAATCTTAAATGTAGTGTATTCGCCAGCTGTAAGCACAAAATCAATAGAATTAATCAAAAAAGACATCAGTCTGTGTGTAATTAATCCATATATTATTACTACCATAGAGAACTGATTAAATAAATTAACTTTGCAATAATATCCTAAATTATTGATTATGGCTGAATTTTACATGTTTTCATAACATGTGGAAAAATGTGGATAATTTAAAGATTTCTAAGGACTTTGCTGAGACCCTCTTATTAAAAATATATTTATATTCCCACAATCTTGACAATGTTGCACAGGCAGTGGTAAAAAGTACATGGAAACATGCATATTCAAATTAAAACAAATACTTATGAAAAACAAAAAAAATTAAATAAGATACGACAAATAGGAAAAAGAGTAAAACACAAGCAAAAATATGCTGTATAGCTATTAAAGATGGCATCAGTAATTTAAAAGAAATGCGCAACTGAGTAGGATCATTTTAAAACGCTTCACTGGATTTTTATATTTGTGCGTAGAAAACAGCAAGAGACTATTTACAAGAAATACACAAAAACGATGCAAAAATCAGCGGGCATGAGTAAGCAATAGCAGCAACAGCAGTAGTATTGTAAGAAGTTAGAAAAACTGCAAATATCAGCAAAGTCATAAACTTACTGAGTAAAAGAAACACCTCAATACTAAAGATATATTTCATATCTTGTGTTAATTTGGGCTTCAACATTCTCACAAAAACTACATCATACTGCCAGCACTTGGTCTGAATGTTTCTTCCCACAGACAGAATTTCTATGGACTAATCAAAGAAATGTTTCTCCCTCCGGAGGCTTCAGATGTGAAAAAGTAACACTAAACCCAACTAAAATGCAAATGTTTAAAGGCTGATGAAATACATTCTGCTTAAGGACAGCCTGAAATATTACATTCAGAAAATACACTGAATTCTCCCAGGTGATCCTCTCTAAGTCGCTGCCGCCCTGCAGACACCGAGTGCTTTTTTGGCTCTTAGTTTGGCCTTCAGTGACTGATTCTATAAATCAAAGACATCCTTCATCTTTACAAGAAAAGTTCTTTGGCTTTTCTGGCCATGTGCCTGTGTTCATCATTCTGCTGCACAATGAAACGGTCTGACTAAGAGCACATGAGCGCATCTCGTCTGAGGTTATTACTTCCAGCAGGAGTAGAGCCATCAATAAATTTCTGAGTGGCGGCTCTACAACCAGGAAATGGTGAGAAGTTGTTGGACACACAGAAGAGGAGCTCTTTCGAACTAAGGTGGTGTTCCCTTTCAGCACGCTTCAATCTTCTTTGCATGCCGAGAGGAATTGAAGTTGGCTTTGTCTGTCCATTTAGTTCTTTAATTTGGCCGGTCTCTTTTAGCATATTTGAAACAAGAAACCTGCTTTTTGCACTTTCATTTGTTCTGAAGCAATGAGATTGTAAAAAGTATATTTGCCCATGTCTCTAACAGAATTTGTGCTTATTTAAGACTTTTTAGGACATTTTAAGACTATTATGAATGAAATTAAGACCTTTTGCCAATTGCAAAAATAGATAAAAGACAACTGTTGTCCAATGTAATTAAAATACATTTTGATTTTTACAACTAATTTAAGACTTTTTAAGGTCTTAATTTACACTGTATCAAGCTATTAAGCACATCTACCTAAAACTCAAATCCCACATGAAGACAGCTGGTCTTGGTTCCCAAGTTATATTTGAAGCTCTGATTTGTTGATGCCTTCTCCATTTCTTCAAACCCCTTTTTATTGCGTCACAAAGCTTTCTGTTGCATTACCTGCCTCTGCTGCCTGTACTTGACGTACTGGAAGGTCGCGCCGGTGTGTGAGCGTTGGATAGACCTGCCAGAGAAGAACGTGGACTGTGCTGTGATGAAGTTGCAAATTTTACTTTTTCTACCTAAGAAGTTCATGGGGGTGGAGAGTTTAAAGTATGACTCTCTTTGAGCATGCGTGTACCTGACGATCCAGGAGAAAGGGTCGACAGTCCAGGAGAGGGGTTCATGTCTGTTGAGCCCATCTGGTGTTGTTGGCTGGCGGAGATGCAACGAGAGAGGAGGTATCCGAGATTGCTGGAACCAGCGTCTTCCAGCTGACAACAAAAGTCAGAGTTTAGGAAGGTGTCAGTCAGTATGTGCAGATGCAGAGAGTTTGCAGCTATGACAGAGTTGTATTACAATGGCATCTGGTGGTCAGTCCAACTCCGGGTGAACAAAGATAGACATTTTTACATGACAAACTGCATTAAAAAGGTTCAACAAGATTTGGCTAATGAATCAAACAGCATAGCTGCACAACAGAGAAATCAGTGCAATATTACAATAAAGAACTATTTGAAAACAATATTTGGAAGGCTGTAATATTCGAGGGCTATTTCTTAGCATTTAATTCATCAGATTATTAAATATTATTATTACATGAGTTCGTAATGTAATGTAGGACCTAAAACATCTAGGACACTTTTAAGGTAAGTAAAGAGTGTGTTTTAGGTTTAGGAAAACTACAAAGCAGAAAACTACAAACTTTTATCACTATTACCGAGACAAAATGAAACAAAAAAAAATTTGTGAAAGCAATATTTATGAAAGCACAAGCTTGATGAGTGTGACAGGTTTTATTGAAGCATTTTAACGAAAATAAGACATTAATAGTTATGTCAAATACTAGTTGAAATTGATGTGCAACTAGGGTTATGCAGCTACTCAATTCATCTTTCAGTTTAGATTTCTGTTCCAAATGATCATTTGGAAATTAAATTGATAAAAAAATAGCTATTGTTATTCATATTTACTTGAAATTTTTTACTTGATGTTCAAGATGTCAAAACGGCAAGAAACGGAAGCCAATTTAATTACTGCATATTCCTCTCTAGGTGTGCAGGAGGCAAAAGACGTGTGGGAGCGCAAAGAACGGCTCATTAAAAATCACATAAGATGAATTAAAAATATTACATTGATGAAGCACTAATTGCAGTTTTACAGCTGATCTGACCCGAGTGATCTGAGTACAGCACTTATTTTATGTAAATGTGAAAATAAATATTTTTGCCACCTTTCAAATTAAATACACATGTTTATTATTACAAAGAGGAAAGTAATGACTTAAACAATGACATGCAAGTGTGCCTGTGTCATCAGAAAATTCTAAGCAATGTTCAGCTTAGCATAATCTTTAGCAAAAACTAATAAAGCTGTTTACAATCTAGAAAGCCTATTTCTTTACATGCAAAAATCAGACAATGGCACATGAGAAATAAACAGTTTAACCAACATTCTAGCCAGGGTTTGTTTTGGTAGCATGCAAAAGATTAATTAACAGAGCATGTGTAACAGTGTTTTAATGCAACAATGTTGTAAATGTGAAGTTTGTCAAAATTTGTTCATTTGTTCTTTGACTTTATTTTTTTATACATTTCCCCTTTTTTTGTTGATGTCTGTTACTGCAGGAACAAAAGCTGCGAGACTGGCGTTAACCACCTACTTGTTTTATTTTTTTCTTAAGAATAAATACGATGAACCTGAATGCATCTTTCATGGAGTCAGCCTATTGGATCTGAGATGAGCAAAGAAGGGTTAGACATGTGTGTATCTTATGGCAACAGTGATCATTAATGTTCAATAAAACACCATCCCTGTTTGCAAACTACTACTGGGAACGCAAAACACAATGGAAAGGACAAGGTAGCAGAATAATGGGACATTTTCACGACATAAACACAGAAAGTGACAACTCTTAATTTAGTCGAATGTAGCAGCACGTATGTGCAAAATTTAGATCAATTAAAATTGAATTACCTGGAGCCTTTAAGAACACCAAATAATGTCTTAAAATAATAAACAAAAACTGTCTAAACATAAACTATACCTGACCTTCTCATTGCATCACCTATAGGACAGACTAAACATATTCTGGAGCGTAAATGAATGAATGTTCTGATTTCTGATACCTGCCTGGTTTCTTCCACCAACCTACGTCTTTTTCTCTGCAAGTCATAATCTCTCCTTACCTGAGAAGACCCTGCATCACCGTCCTGCTGATGGCCTCTGGTCTAATTCTTCCTCCCTGACTCTTTGCTCTTTCTATTGTGGCAATAAAGATTTCTTTTAAATATGTGGAAAGCACAAGTTCTGCACTGAAACTACAGAGGATTGGATTTATTCCTAGCATTAAATAACCAGCAAAGGATGCAACATAGGTAACAACAGCATCCGTTGTTCTTCCAGCTTAACATGATATTCCGGTGTGGATTAACCAGCCATCATTTAGATGACATTATCTGCAGGCAGCGGTATTACTCAGCTTTCATGGATTTTTGCTGGCTGGTTTGCACATTGTGCAGCACTACTCAGCAGGATTTAAAACAAAACAACTTAAATCATTACAAAAGTGTCCTGAGTTTTAAGTTTCCTTTAAAAAAAAACCAAAAAAAAAAACAAATGCAGCAGCTTGGGAGGGTACTTAAATGTAAGTGAGATCGGTGGAAAGGATTGTTGTCACATGCAATCGGCCGATTGCCCAAATTTAAAGAAATCGGAGTTGATACGATTGAGGAGTTCACTCCTCGAGGAAATACCATCTAAACCACTTTTTTTTTCCTTTTTTAAGAAATCCTGAAAATTCATTGCAATATTAAAAACAAAAAATATGAAATGAAAAAAAATCCCATGTCAAAGACAAAATAGATGCAGTATATTTCTAATACAGTGATTAACAAGGATGATCACGCAAGTATTTATCACAATATTTTGTGCTATTTTCCTGTGATAATGACAAAGTGCTTTACAACCTATGAAGAAGGAACAACTTACTAATTGTTAATAGTTGCATGAAGTAGTGCATTTGTATTACTTAATGCACAACTGTATTTAATTGCATTTTTCAAGATATTGATATTTGTTGGTGCCTTTATGGAACTAACTGCAAAAATACCAAAAGTAATACTCTTGAAAACATTTTAAATGTTGCAATAAATCCAAATTCCTACTTTACAAAGTATTATCTGTTCACCCTTATCTCTATTGGGGTAGGGAGTTGCTGGTGCCTATCTCCAGCTGCGTTCCGGGTGAGAGGCAGGGTACACCCTGGACAGGTCGCCAGTCTGTCGCAGGGCAACGCAGAAACAGACAGGACAAACAACACACACTCACCAACCTAGGGAGAATTTGGAAAGACCAATTAACAGTCATGTTTTCGGACTGTGGGAGGAAGCTGGAGTACTCAGAAAGAACCAATGCATGCACAGGGAGAACATGCAAACTCCATGCAGAAACTCAGGACCTTCTTCCTGCAAGGCAACAGTGCTACCAACTGCACCACTGTGCAGCCCTATAAAGTATTCCATACCACTAACGATATTTGTTATAATATTCATCATCTTACCAATAAATACCATTATATGCAAATCTTGGCACAAATGTAGTTTATTCACCCCAAGTGAGTAATTGCAACAAATAATCTGAATTTCAGTACTGAGCAAAAATAATTGAGATTGTTATTTTGCTTCTCGTCAAGAAGTCCTAAAGTTCACTTATAGGCCAATATAAGAGCTATGGATGTAAGAATGTGTTGTGCCAAACAGCATAAGCACTCAAATTGTTCACATTATTACACAGCAAACGCTTGAATACAACTGGATTAAGCCATGTTTTTGCTCAAGTGTTTTGATAAATCTAAATTTGGTTTTAAAAATTTTAATTTAAAAATATGCACACCTGGATGGGCGGTATCTCGGGGAGGCAGGGCAGGTTCTCAGGATTAGTGACGGAGGGGATGAGTTCGATGGGACCAATTATGGGGCTGGCAGGGCCGCGGTGCGCGTGGGCACCGGCCATGCTGGCACTGGTCGGACTCGTGGGACTGGCATTATGCAGGGACGCCACTGGAAAGGGGCCAGCGTGTCCAGGGTTCGAATGCTGCAAAAAGACAGAGAGAGAAAAATGGAGGGCAAGGACACACACAAAGAAAGAAAAAAGTAAAATAAGATATACGGAAAAACAAATGGGAGGAGAAGAAACATTGGGAACATTAAAGAGAGAGTCACTCTTAAATGAAAACAACAACAAACAACTATTCATAATGTGCCTTTGAAACAACAGGACTTCATGATCATGCAGGTGATCAACCACACATGCTGCACAAGACACATAAATGACAAAGAAGGAAAAAAGTGCCAAACCCCTGATTGGAGTAAGAAACGAAACCTTTGGTGGCTCATCTCAGATTCTAAAGACATCTGGACACAGAAAAAAAGGGGGCTGGATATAGTGGAGGTTTATATTGCCTCGTCTCACATGTACAAAAAAAAAAAACAAACAGCACATTTCCATATCTGCAGAGTGGTGATGATCAAACAGCATTCATTCTCAGAATATTCCCTGTATTCTGAGAATGAGCATGCATCTTAAATGCACTATTAAAGCATATACATGCTCAATCTAAAACTGACTGACAAAACAAAACAAAAAACTTAGCTTTGTATTTTATTCTCAGCTAATAGCTTTTTAGAGAAATTCCTCAAGTTATCCATTAAAATTTACAGAGCTAAGAAATCTTTTCGGATAAGACTTTTAGAAACTGATGTTGGCTTGTCTATATTGTCTACAAAGAAGATTAGAAGATGCCAATACGTCTAGAAATAGACTGGCTATGTTTGACCAAACAATAGTTTTAGTAGACTTTCTGGGAACAACCTTGTTCCTGGGATATTCAGTTTATTATTTTAATTTTCACATAAAAGTTTGAATAAAATCAAATATAAACAACAGATTTTTTTTTGTGCCAAACAGTGAAAATGTGTTATTTTAATCGGGGTTATTGTTACGGATCATTCCATTGCTACTAGAAATGAAGCAACGCATTTTGGGATCAAAATCAGCCCAACTTTATTCTGACATTTGAAGAATTGCACACTCAGAGTTTACGTAGCTAGTTTTTCTGACATTTTTGCTTTGAAATTTCTCATTTTTTGTGCATTTAAGATCTTTGATCTTCAATTTTACTACTTCTTCAGCTAAACAAATTATTTTTCTTGGAAGGATTTTTTTAAAAAGTGGAATGAATACTTTTTCAGCTAAGCTTTAAGGAGTATCTTTATCTTAACGAGAACCACAGCAGACCACAACAAAACAAACACAAACTGACCAATATTACTCAAAACTGTTTAATTATACTGAATTAACAATGGATAGTTAAGACAATGTGTAACTAAAGCTATGCTTTGTGGATTTTTATATAAAATCCACCCAAAATGATTTCCTGGCTGTTTAAATGAGCCTCATCTGTCACATCTCTCAAATATCTGCAAATGTATCAATAGAGAACATGTACACTCATTCTGACATAATTCGAATGTGTGTGTGTATACTGACCTGTCTTTGTATCTGAGGCTGCATCATAGGGGCATACTGCTGTCCGTTATGTCTGGGCTGAGCTGTGGGCATCCGGCCTTGTGGTGGACCAGCCAGACGCATGTGATGGGAGGAGGGATACATAGAAGGGTTGGTCCCACCATTCATAGCTCCAGTTCTTTGTAGCTGCTGCATGCTGATGAGCCTTGGAGGCTAGTCAGAAAAAACAAACACATATATAAATTGATTATAATCGCTCAATTTCCGTGAAAAAGTGTATGATCTGTGATCGTCCATCACCAGATCACCAGAATCTCATGTTGTAGCCTGCGGGGCCAGCTCATCTGCTCTTTCCTATTGCGCAAGAGCCAGAACAAAACAATTATCCTTCCTCTCAGGAAGTTTTGATTTAGTAACTCAAGATTGTTTATTTTGATGCAATCGGTATTTGACTTGAAATGAAAGTTTCTAATTTTCTTGGTATTATTTGATATAGGCAGTGTCACCAAGTGTGTAAAAGCTTCTGACCTGGCAGGCTTATAAAAACACTGTGTGACAACATCTGGAAACGAAGTTCGAGCTGCTTAGCCTTCATCACAGGCTATCTCTTCATGATCTAGTGAATTAAAATTAGGGAAGGTATCTGAATAAACCTGAAGTAAAGAAAACAGAAAACAAATGGGCATTTTCCAACTAGGATAAGTGTTATTGGTACGTCTTCCACAATATACTACATGAAGTTTAAACTTGTTTAGAGATCATTTCAGGATTGATAAAATTACCAGAAATCACAAACCCCTAAAAACAGGAGACAAATACAATACAAATACATAACTTCAAACAAAAGACAGCATTATAACAAACAGTATAAAAAAAATAATAAATCACCTTCCATTATTAGGAAGTTCACCATACCTGCTGCTGAACCAAAGGCGGGCCGCCTGCCCTCGGATGCTGCTGAGACATTTGGGAGGCTATACGCATTTGTTGCTGAATCTGCTGCTGCTGCTGCTGTTGTTGCTGCTGATGCTGTTGATGTTTTTGCTGTGCATATGCAGCCTGTTGCATGTGTTGCAGCCTGAGCTGAGCCAGGTTGATCTGCCCAGGATGTTTGCCGGGGTGACTTTGGCCTGGTGAAATGGGCGGTCCGCCTACCATCACACTGGGAGGTTGTGGAACTGGAGGAGGTTTTTCAATAACCAAATTACCTAGGATTTAAAAAAAAACAAACAAGCCATCACTTACCATCATAGGAAATAGGAAACGCCGTGAAAGTAGTTTTTTTTCTACATTAGTTTGAGAAATGCCACGTTAAAAGCAATGACTCAAAACAAAAACAATTTTTAAAAAATTACGAATAAATATTTTTTTAAAAGAGACAATAAGGTGTTTCACTTACCTAAATTAACAACATTTTTAGCCCAAAACGTTGGGTCACAGAAGAACCGTACAACTCCATTGGACTGTGGGGCTGGCTCCAGTCTCGCCTTGAAGAGCTGGCGAAGCTGGTACATGATCTACATGCATTCGCACAGAGTAAGGTTATTAAATTAATAATTATATCTGTAAGAGACCCACTAAAATTTTATTCTGTCAAAAGTTTAGGACATTCACCATAAAGTCAACTCATTTGGGTGTGCTCTTATGATAAAGGATTAAATCTACACCACATCTAATAACAAAAGTACTAAGCTAATGTTGTGGTTCTAGTGTGTTCCTCTATGCCCACTTAGAGGTTATAAATTGTTATTAAGCACAGCCTGCCAACCTTCATCTTACATAACTTCAATGTTCTTAAAAAGTTAACAAATAGAAACTGGGATCTTCCTCAAGTAAAATTCATTAGTGTGTGTGTGTTAATGATTTTGATAGAAACTACTTGGGTTAGCATGTTCCATGAGTGAATAAGTGAGTCTTATGAGAAACATACCGGCCTCTTGCTATAGAGCAATGCAGTGCTGCTGCCTGAAGTGATGGCCCAGTTGCAGAAGTTGAGCACATGGTGGATCTGTTGAGCCAGCTGGGTGGTGTCCTTATGCTGACCCATCAGCCTCAAGCTCCTCTCTTTGTTCACGCTCTGAATAAACATGGAGATTTGGTTAGCATTACCAAAAAAGAATCAGTGAATTCCAAAGCTCAAAGCTGCCTCCTAAATGATTCCAAACCACATTGCATCCTGCCATGTAAGGAGGGCCTTTGAATGTTTGTATTTTGCAATAAAAAGAAACAGAATGAATCCGAAATAAAACCATAAAAAACATCTAACAATTTTCAGCTGCTTTGGTTGAAAATATGGAAGGAAATATGGAAGGAAAATATGGAAGGAATAACTGAACATAAACATGACAACACCTGTCACGGACATGAAGGAGTCTGCAACGATATTTATGACTGTTGTCTTTATGTGGCATTTGGTAAATAAAGCTTTTAATGCAAAGGTAACATTATTTAAAATGCCTTTCCTATGACAACTTGACATTAACCAAGACAAAAATGTCTTGGTTAATGACATTTTTGTACATTAACCAATGTCTTGGTTAATGTACAAGACTTTTTAGACATGTGACATTTTAGACATTTTCAATCTGTCCCCATTTTCCTGAAGTCTTCTATCATCAAGCCAGAAGCTGTCACTGACTTAAACGACTACTACCCAGTTGCAGTAGCCCCAGTCATTATGCGGTGCTTTGAGAAGATAGTCCTCGGTCACACCTCGGTACTCACCACTCATCCAACATGTGAAACCCACTGTGAGGACAGTAAAGGTGTGGCCAGAGGGCTCAGACGTTGTGCTTCAGAACCAGTTCAGGAATACAGATTGGAATACTTTCCACCACACAGACTTGGATCAGTACACCTCATCTGTACTGGACCACATCTCCACCACCATAGACTGTGTCACATCCACAAACGCATCACCATGTACCCCAACCAGAAACCCTGGATGAACCGAGATGTTGGTCTCCTGCTGAAGGCCCGTAACATCGCCTTCAGGTCAGGGGATGCACAGACCTACGGCGCAGCCAGGGCTGAGCTGAAGAGGGGAATCAAGAAGGCCAAACACCACTACAAAAGGAAGGTGGAGGATCACTTTTCCAACTCCAACCCCCGACGCATGTAGCAAGGCCTTCAGATTCTCGCAGATTACAAGAACCCCAACACCTCCCCCACCTCCTCTGATGTCTCCTTCCTCAACGAGCTTAACAACTTCTATGCTAGTTTTGAGAGAGGGAACACTACAACTGCAATTAAGACAGCCATCACCCCAGATCAACAGCCACTGACTCTCCTCTCCACTGATGTAGGAGCGGCTCTGAGCAGGATTAAATCCAACAAGGCTGCGGGTCCTGATGGTCCTGATTTTCAACCTGTCCCTCGCCCGCGCCGTGGTACCGACCTGCTTCAAGTCTACCTTCATCGTCCCAATTCTTAAGAATTTCAACCGGACCAGACTCAATGACTATCGTCCAGTAGCCCTCACTCCCATCATCACCAAGTGCTTGGAGCGGCTGGTCCTAGAACACCTCAGATCCTGTCTCCCCCCCAGCCCCCCAAACTGGATCCCCACCAATTTGCATACAGGCAGAATAGGAGCACAGAGGATGTGGTCTCCATAGCGCTGCACTTTGTCCTTTCTCACCTGGACAACAAGAACACTTATGCCAGAATGCTGTTCTTAGACTTTAGTTCAGCATTTAACACTGTCATTTCAAAGGACTGTCCCCCCCCCCCCCATCCCCAGACTGTTCCCCTCACACACATACATGATCTGTATACAATCTTTATATAATCTGTAAATCGCATGTCAATATTATTCTCTGTTTATATCTTTGTACACCTGTTTATAAATATTTATATCCTGTATAGCACTTCTGGATAGACATTTTGTTGTTTTGTACATGTGACAGTGCAATGACAATAAAGTTGAATTCTATTCTATTCTATAATAGAAGACCCTAGACAAAAGCAGTGCGATAATGAATAAAAATCCAACAAACTAGATCATAAAAAAATAGACATCTAGTTATAACCTTCCTGCCGGTCCAGATAGTTTGCCTATAGGAGGAGCCGGTTCACAGAGAATGCTGTTTTCATTGAACACGAACAGTAGTGTAGTGCACTAGCCCTGACTCATTCCATTTTCGAATAATTTCTCCAACTGTTGATCTTTTTCCTCAAAGCTGCTTGGCAATTGCACTGAGGCCCCTTCCAGCCTTGTGGAGGCAATTCTGTCTCTGGTGTCTTTGGACAGCTCTTTGGTCTTAGCCACGTTAGTAGTTGGATTCTTACCGATTGTGTGGGGGTGGACAGGAGTCTTCATGCAGCTAACGACCTCAAACAGATGCTTCTAATTTAGAATGAGTGGAGTGGAGGTGGGCTTTTTAGAGGCGGGCTAACAGATCTTTGAGGGCCAAAATTTTTGCTGATTGGCAGGTGTTCAAATACTTACTTGCAGCAGTATAACACAAATAAATCAAATATTCACACACTGTGATTTCCAGATTATTATTTTTTTGGTTATGTTTCTCACAATGGACATGCATCTGAGATGAAAATTTCAGAAACCTCCATGATTTCTAAGTGGGAGAACTTACAAAGTCGCAGGGTGTTCCTTATACTTATTTTCCTCACTGTCGATGTCATGACTGTCAAAGTCAAGCTAGATTAGCTGACCTACTTCCCTCTCCCTCACCGTTTTTAATTTAAATTAAAAAAAATTCTGATCTTGTGGTAATAGTGATAGTGTTGACAAATTACCATCAAAACACTGCAACCCTTTTTCTTTTATACATCACCGATACATATATAAAAGAAATAGCCTCCTTTGTTGACAATTTGACAGCTAAAACAAATTGTAATCGTCAGTTTTTTGCCCTTCAGCAGGGAAATGGAGGTGTAAGATCTTGTGCATGTGATGTGTACAAGATAGTATATGTTGGGTATGAGAACGTTTTTTTTTTTTTTTCCTTTTATGTCCCTCAAGGGGCTTTGTAGTTTCAGGTTCTGAAGTAAAAAAAAGAAAAAAAAGAGCAAAACAACTAAAAGCTCCAAAAAATATATCAGGTGAAAAATTAAATATTAATTTCAGACGTAAATCAAAAAGCATCTTTCTTCAAAGTGCAAAACTTTTGTATTTTTATTCAGTCTTCTATCGCAGCACTGTCATTAAATCTCACGAGTGTCAGCTATGTTCTATCTAGATCTTAGCATTTAGAAATAATGATTCTGAAGTTTAAAATAAGTTTCAATACAGTCTTACCTCTAACTGCTGAAGTAATGCTTTGCCCTTTTTGTTGATTTCATTTATAAGAGTGAATACAGCAATTTTGATCTCATGTTCCACTTTTCTATGCGTCTCACCCAGTTCTTTTAACCTGTATTAAGTAAAAAACAAACAACAAAACACCCACAAATTAATTCCACACAAATACAAGTCAAATACAAAACTGTTCAGAGATTGTGAAAATAGATGAAGCACACAGAAACCTGAACCCACCTGTTTTGCAATTGAGACACAGAGTAATGGACATAGTTCTTTTTTTCCTGTAGTTTGGCCATGTTGGCTTCGATGATTCCTTTATGGTTCTGGAAAGCTTCTTCCAGAAACTGGTACCTGATAAAAGAGAATAAAACCAAGTCACAATCAGGTTCAATTAATAAATTAATTTCTGAAGGCCTGTACATACGCTGCAGGAACTGAATAATTCCTACTTTCAGGGTTTATAGAAAGAAATGCTGTTTTCCTACCATCTTGGTTTTCCCAGAAGTTCTGCATTTGGCTTGTTTGTAAGATAAACAAAATGTGTTCTAGCAACATCGCATAAATAAATCCATTTGTCAGCGCTTGTGTGGTATTTACAGTCCTTAAAGGTTACATGTCACCAGAAGTAAACAGATACGGACATGAGTCCAAAAATGAGTCAAGGTCTTGTAGAGAAATATTCATAAATTCATTTTCTGGGAGGAATGCAATAATTAAAAAAATTTAAGAGGGTTTCATAATTCCTTGAAACAAACAAGTCGTTAAGTTTGATTTTCTCAACTATTTCACACTTAATTTTTCTAGTGAATTTGGGCGTTTTTCATTTCTATGGGGTAGAAAGACACAATGTCATGGGAACATAATGCTTATGCATCCGCTTTCCACACATTTAACACTGTAAAAAAAATGGGACTGCAACTAAAGATTATTTTAGTAATTATGGAATTGGGTTTTTTTTAAAGGAAAAAAAATTTGCTTTATTAGATACAAAACGTTGACATGCCTGTGCTCCTTGTGCTCCAGAAGCTGACAGTCCCGACACGTTAGAGTGTCGCATGTCTCGCAGAAAAGTTTCAGAGGTTCCTGCCTGTGGATGGGACAGAAAACTGGCCTCTGTCCTGTCGTGTTGACAGAATCTGTTGAAACAATGGAAGGAGGAAATTTAATAACAAAAAAATAAAAAAATAAAAAAAAAATAAAAAACATCAAAGAACATTTAAAAATTTGAACAGCTGCTACACGTGTTGCCTGATTGGACTAAACCAGACATGGCAAAGAAAGAAAACAAAAAATTAATAATATGGACGTCCGTTTTGTTTAGGGTGAGCATGTTTTGTCATTTATTGTGAAACATTTCTTATGACAAGAATTTTAATTTATTCTCTCAATAAATACCAATTAATGATGTTTAAAATCCCCAAAGCTGTTCGTATCATCGGGAGTGTTATTTTACTATTTAACCCACCTTTTGCTCAATGAGAGTATCCAAAACCCACTAAACTTGGTAATATGACTAAATGTAGTTACTGTGTGCTGCTGTATAGTGACACAAATCACTTCTTAATGCTACTGTTGTCCTAAAGAAATACAGGCATGATTTTTTTCAAGCAACTTAGTGTCTTCCTCATACAATGACATAGTTTGACTGAAAGATAAGTTGGGATTCACAAAATGTTACACTTCCTCATTTCTTATCCATTTTGATGTCTCCACTTTCATTTTTGATTTGTCATTACTAGTATTGCTTCCATTCAGAACAAACATGTAGATCAATAGAAAATAATGATTAAAATCTAAATGTGTCTGAGGTATGAATCATTTTAAGCATAACTGTATGCCAGAATAATCTAAGATACAATGACTTTAAGCCTCTAGGGTTTTTTTCCTGTGGATGGGACAGAAAACTGGCCTCTGTCCTGTCGTCAAATTTGAAAACAGAAAAAACATATATTAATTTTTTTAAACCCATTGTTGAAGTGCTACCTATATGTTTTGTCATATTTATTTACAGAATGATCTTCTAGGCTCAAGATTCAATCTGGGAAAAATAAATAAATAATAATAAAAAAAATCTTATTATGGTTCAACCCTCAAGGGTTTTCACAATAATCCACTCTCTAATACCCATGACATTTTTTGTAGTGTCTAATAAATACTACCCAAAAGATTTTCTGTCTCAGGCTTTGGGAGTTTAGCTTCTAACTCTTAACTGTTCTTACCAGACGCAGCATCAGCATCTTCCTTTGTACGGATTTTGTGGTCCTTGGTAATTTTCACTCTCTGATGGGCCTCCACACAGGTTTTACACAACCATTCTCCACACTCCACACAAAAGCCTACTGTCCCAGCGTTGTCTTCACAGCTTGTGCACACCTTAGAAATACAGAAGCAACACAGAGAAACGCAAATAAGCGTTACAGCTTGTTCGGAAGAGAGCTGAAAAGAATTGAAGCACTCAAGTTAGGCAAAAATGACTGTTAGCAATACCTGTGCAGCTTTTTCATCAGATGTGCTGGTAGCTTCCGTTGTGTCTTTGACAAAGTAATTGTCGATAATGTCACTTTGCTTGTAGTCCTGGTGGCAAACCGAACATCGCATGACATTTACTAGAAAGAAAGAGAAAACACAGGGTTAAAAATCAAAGGACTGCTGCTCCCTAGGATTTATTGCTAAGACTTTTGAAGCAAAGCAGCAGACAGGCAGAACCACATGAAAACCAATAACCCTAGTTAATTCAATTGGTGCCGCTTTAAACAAAAGAATCCTTCAGCTGACTTTTTTTCTGATTTCCATAATTTCCTTTTGTTGAACTGCTTTTAATGAAAACTCTTGGTGCTGTAGGGAAGGCCCGCTTATTCATGGGAGCTAATCAATTTAACTTCGATTTCCTGAAAATTCTATCTCATCACCCCTTGACATTTTTATTAGAATATTAAATCACGCAGCCCATAAAAAAGAAAAAACAATGTCTGCTTTGCTTAACCGCTTTATTCAACTTCTTTAATAAAATTAGAGAAATTGGAGCTGTAGTTACTGGCGCCAACGAATAATCAGTTTACCATTTTAATTTTGCCACCCAATTCCATTTGGGCAAGATGAACTTCAGGAGTTTTGAAATAATGCAAAAGACATATTTTGCTCCTACTCTACCTCCTAAACCAATAAATGACAATCCCCAATCCCTCAAACCTCCTGAAAAAAAAAAAAAAAAAAAAAAAAAAAAAGGCCAGCCATCTGTGGTAAGAACTAGTTCTGGCCAGTTTGAACTGGCTTACACTGGCTTGATCAGCACAGAGCCGGTTTGTGTGAGCGCCAGCTGCATGGGTCCCCATGTGTGATTAGTAGTGGAAGCAGCTGGACTAGGTTTAGGCTTATACACCCAACCCCTCCACATACACATATGTGTAAATAAACACATATGCGCCACCCATATGGGACCCCTGAAATGAAGATCTCCATCACATTTGAAAATGTTGCACAAAATCATTTTCTCCACACAGGATATGGGTTGTGTTTACTTTAATTAATTAAATAAATAGAATATTTGTTTGTTTTACATGCCATATCTGACATAATAAAAAGCTGCATATAACACCAAAACTAGGAAGCTAAATCCAGGCCATAAGAGCCCGGATGTAGACCTTATGGCCCGGATCTTCCAGAGGTGATGGATATTACAGCTCTACGTTGTTTTGGTATTCCTGGCCACTTTTTATTCAACTAAAACAACATGGAGACCACACACTTTAGCTTTGGCGTTTATTTAAAACCCATTTGGGAAAAGCTTGAAATAAACTGTCATGGGCTGCCATGGAAAAATTACAATAAGGTCACATCTGCTAGTCATGTCATATGAAATGTTTGTGAACTCTCAAAACAAAACTCAAAAAGAACTATTTGGGTTACCTGTAAAGAACTATTTGGGTTACTTGTACGAGGTTGGAAGGTTGTTTTCCGCAGCTGGGTAAGGACCAGACCGTCTTGTCCCTTGTTTTCCTTCCTTAGTGTATAAAAACTTACATGTTGTCTCTGCCTGGCAGAGCTTAGGGAACTTAGTGAGCTGGGTTAGCCTTGCATCCAGACTGGCTTGATTATTGATTGTCTTATGCGCTCTCTTTATTGTGCACAATGCATGAATGAACCTGATTGAGTGATTCTACCTGGAAAGTGCTTGGAAATAGTTTTTTTTTTCCACGACAGGCTCCTCAATGTTCAACGAAGCTATATTTTTGTTTTTTTCCTTAACATAGCTCATAGAAAAGGAAAAGAACCACAACATTACCACACGCAACTAAAGCACTGATTAATTAATTGATTTGTCCAACTTTATATTTTGTTTTTCAATCAACATTTCTAACAATCTCATTAGGGCTGACATGAACCGTTTATTGAAATAATCGCCAACTAATTTAATAATCGACGATAAATTGTCCAAATAACCATTGCAATAAACCAGGGTGTCAAACGCCAGTCCTCAAGGGCCGGTGTCCTGCAACTTTTAGATGTGCCTCTGCTGCACCACACCTGAATAGCGTAATTAGGTCATTAGTAAGGCTCTGGAGAACTGATCTACACAAGGAAGAGGTAACGAAGCCATTTCATTCAAGTGTTTTGTGGAATCTAAAAACTGCAGGACATCGGCCCTTAAGGACTGGACTTTGACACGTGTGCAATAAGCAATAATATTGCCATTTTGAGTCCATTTTCAAGCTGTATATTGTTAATGGCGTAATTATGCAAGTTCACCCTCTCAAAGAGAAACTTTTATTTTGAAAAGAACAATTAAAACTGGAAGTGGTAGATATTTTAAATATCCAAAATAAAACACGACATCCAAGAACAACAAAACTGAAATAAAAACCACACATAGGCCTGTCATGATAACTAATTTTGCTGGGCAATTAATTGTCACAGAAATTATTGTGATATGCAATAATATTGTCATTTTGAGACAATTGCCAACTAATAGCATAAAAAATGTCTAACAATGCAAACACACCTCTGAGGTGTCAATAAACTAATTTCAAGAAAACATTTAGAAATTGAACTGGAGGACCTTTTAAATATGAACAATTGGGAGGGGTTCAGAGAGGTTTGCATTAGCCACTGTTCACATTCAATCCTAATTGATGGCAGGGGGCTGCCCCCCACAAGAAGAGGCACATACCAGAAACCGCCACTGCACCTCTGTGATTGTCAATACGAAGGTCCCCAAGCAAGCAAGCCAGCATGCTGGTTGTATTGTTTAGTTGCTACTGGTTTACAACATAAAACAATATGTGTAAAACAGTGTGGTTCACTGACCAACATAGGTTCAGTGGTTCACTATGGCCATTCAGTTTGAATCCAAAGCGCTCTCAGACTGCAGCTGCAACGTTTGGCTTTTAAACTTGCATTTTCCTGGTTCGGTCCTCCTCACCGGGCTTTAAGCTACGGAGACGAGGAGCCCGGTCTGGGATAATCGTCACCCGGTGACAACTCGAGACAGCACTGTTTATTTTGACATTTTAAAAGTCAACTGAAGTATTTGCTTATTTGCTTCTACTAATGTCTTTATAATATTGCATAAATAAGGCTTTCTGTCTTAAATTTTCTTCTATTAATCTATTGTGAGAATAAGTGATAAAATAATGAATAATTAAGTAATTGGTTGTCTTAAACCTAAATTTCAGATAGGAATAAGATCTAAGAATCAGAAATAGAAAACTTTGCTTGTTCCACCATATCGAGGAAGTTCTTGATAGAAGATTTAGACTGAAACTGAATGAACAAATTAAGCTTTTGTTTGTTTTTTTACATCAGGTAAGGATATGAGAAATTATTTGTTTACCACCTTTCCTCACTAACAGTTATAAAGTCATCTGCCTAACAAATTTACATTCTGCACGCAAGTGACCTGGGTCAAACAGGAATAATCTCTGGCTCATTTCTGCCTGAAAAAACAAGAGATGAAAGAGAAATGAACAATCTGCGCAATCGAAGAATAAACAGTATGAACCGCAAAATGGACAACGTTGTCATCGTGTTTTGTAATTACTAAGAATTCTGTTAATGTGTCATCAACCAGATGATCTAGGCATAAATGAATCAATAAGTTGCTAAAAGCTCTGACCCAGGACAGGACAGAACAACCTGTGATCTATTATGCTAAGTCAGGTTAATAAACACTAAAGCTGGTTACTAAATAACCTATCACTGAATGATTGACTATGTCCCTCAGGAAAATTCAATACCCAATTTACTGATGTAACTTATAACAGACTATATAATGGGATGAAAGGCTGCAAAAAAGAGATGATTTTATTGCTGTGGATGAGAAACATTTAGTTTTCTTTCTGAAATCAAGCAAAACTAACAGCTCAGAGATGTTGATTTACAAAACCTTTTCTGTTTAAAAGGGAAAGACTAATATATTTTGTCAATAAGGATAATAAGTTCAGATAATTCTTGAACTGAATCCAAACGTCCTCTTATAAAAACAATGTTCTTTGAATTCAAAAAGACAATGCAGTTCAGAAATCACAAGCTTTGAGGTGAAATCTGCACAATATAAAAAATACTAAGGGGTAAAAGATTTCTCATTATTTGCCAGTTCCAGTCAGCAACAGTATGTCACTGAAATATTCAAAGTTGAATAAACTTCTGCATTTTTTTAACTTCAGGCATCAGTAATTGTCTTATCAGTAGGGCTGACGTGAAAGAATATTTTAGTAATCGAGTACTCTATTACTAATAGAGTAATTAGTACTCTATTGGTAGTAGAGTACTAATTACTCTAAAATACTGAAATGTATAGGTGTCTTCAAAACCCCTAAAGATTGCCTGGATCGTATAATTATAAAACACATTTTTACAATTATCCGAGGAATTCTCCTCCTCTCTGTTTCTCTCTCTCTCAAACGTGACGAAGCGATTCACTCAATACACACATTGAAGATTGGGATTAAAATAGTTGAATTGATGTACAATTCATGCAAGTGCATTTTCATTCACTAATTTTATGTAAAAAAATATATATAAAATTCTACTCTAGGTTGAAAAAGCATTCCATTTTGGCAGAAATAACAAACAAGACTCGTAAACACTTCAGATGGTGCTCCAGCTGAACTTCTGCTGACTGACTCTTCGGACTTTAGCCAAGCAACAATCATGCTTTCCAAAAATGCGCCCACTTCACAGTTTGATCTGTGCAACAACTCAAATCTGTAGAAACATTGTAGAAATGCAACAATCAGGATTTTCCAGGCAGAATTTCTTTGAGGTCAATTTCACAATAGAGAAGTAAACATGTTGCAGAGATGGCAGTTTTGAATACATCATTTAAAAGAAAAGACCAATGTACACATCAATGGTAGATGGTTAGCAAACTGAAAATGGTGGACGTTTTGATGCATTTAAACTGAGCAATTTTTTTATTTATTTATTCTTTTTACTATTTGTCTTGTACATCACAAAAATTAATGTAGAAAAAACTGGCTGATTCCAAAGAATGATTTATTGATTGCTGCATCTCTGCAAATTAGTATGCACTGCATAGAAAAAAGAACTAAAGATGTAATACTCATACCACGGCTGGACAAAAGAAGCAAAACATAAGATATGAAGAGTACTGCTCAATGCTATGATCATGATATACTAATTAGGCCCTTGGTAACAAGCAATAAATCAATTAACTGCATCACTGAAACGAGCTCAATAATTTCCAACTGCATGATTTATTGTCTCTTTTCTACCAGAAACTAGATGATAAAAGTCTTAAGTCTGGTGCAACTAACCCTTTTTGAGACTATTTTATTTATAGAGTCTTCATAATTGATTTTATTTGTAGTTTCGGTTGTTTATTGCTGTTATTTTGGATATTTAAAGTATTTTCCAGTGCTAAATGTTCATGAGAATTTGAAGTTTCTTGATCTCTGAGAATGTGTTTTTGCATTATTATGCCATTGTCATTATTTCACTTGAAAATGGTCTCAAAACAACAACATTCTCATCACTTCTGGGACAATTTATTATCCAGCAAAATTTGCTATTGTGACAGGCTTAGTAGTATCAATAATGAACCCCAAAATCCCATACACAAGTACCAAAGAACCTATTAAGGTGGAAGTCTAAGTCTGTGACTTCAAATTACAGCTCAGTATCACCTCCCATAGACAGGCAGGTCAGGCATATTATACATTTTCTGTATCCTTGTAGTCTGTTGAGTACTTTAGCTGTTAAGTCTTTTGTCCCTGAAAACCACTGGGATAAAATAAATGCATCTTCTTTAGTTGAAAAGTGTGGAAAAATATGTATTAATTTTGGTTAAACAAACTCTTGTGACCTCTGCGTTGATCAAAAAGACTCAAAACCTGGTTTAAATGAAAGCCAAGAGTATCCCCTTTATTATGATACTAAGCACTATATTACAGACCTGTGACAATGCAAATACCATAAAACTAAGCTGGACATATACCAGTCTCAAAAAACAGAATTTGTCCAAAGGGGTTGTTAACTTCATGAGCTCATAACTATGACTCATCTACCATTTTGGAAGGGCCATCAAACAAATTATTATTTAGTGGCATATACATTTTCAGAAAATATGGATAGACTTTGCCACCCTGAAATGGACCAAAATGTGAAATTTAGGCCTCTGGCCCATGGACTGTATCTCTCTACCTTCAGAAGCTTCATTTAGGGATCGAATAACCATCACCATAAATAATACATGCACAGAGAGCCTGAATGCATTTGTTGAGGTCTCGATAGTTCTTAGTGATACGCGAACTGAAGATGTAAAAACCAGTCATTCCAAATTGATTATTTAACACTGAATCCAACATTTATGTGTACATAGATTCAGAATTTTGCCTGGTAATGCTCAAGCCGGGTAATCTAACCAACTATTTAGAGCCACTGCACCAAAGCAAGGAAGAGAAAAACATTGCTAATGACCATGACATTTGTCACAGTTTACTTCAGTACAATCAATCGAAATTTGATGTATGACATAACTTCTGACGGATTTGTTTTAATCACCGATTAAATATGTCAGTCATGGTCAAATAAAAAGAGGAAAAAAAAGTAGCAAAAGCCTTTCAATGGAAAGGCTGACGCACAATCTAACAGAAACCTCCATTTGAAACAGATGTCATTCTCCAAATCCTCCACAGCTTAAAGCTCCCTTCAGGCCTGGCAAACACTGAGATCCTTAAACCAGCAGCACTCACCTATATGCGTGTCCGTCTGACCGTGTGGACCAGGCACCTGGACGCTTATCTGTCTGTCCGGCTGCGGGATACATTTCAGGCAAAACGAGTGTAGGCAGGGCAGAAGTTTTGGTTCACAGTCTCGAGTCTGGAGACTTTGTTTACACACAGCGCACGTATCCAGTAGATTAATGGGAGTGGACACCGGCGTTGCCGCCGCCGCCGGGGCAGTCGGAGCGAGAGATGTTTCAGTTGCGTTTCCGCTAACCGGAGCATCCGCGGCAGGAACAGCGTCGACTGCCGACGGTTCTGAGTTGCCGTTGCTGGTCTCGGTGGGGCTAGTGGCGTTGCTAGCGTTACCGTCAGCTTCTCCTGCAGCAACAACTGCGGCGGCGGGAGTAGCCTCGGTTGCCCCGCCAATGCTGTCGTCCACTCCTTCACTGCTGATATTGAGCTCCTCGTTAGCGTCCTTTGGGGACTCGGTTTCCGCTTCTCCCTTCGAATCCGCTTCTATAATTATTACCTTGTCTTCGCTTTCTGTGCTAGACTGCTTCTCGACTTGCCCTGAAGGCACTGGCTCCGCATTAGCTGACGGTTCCATCTCCTCCTCGCCTTTGTTATCCGCCATCTTCCTTCCTCTTACAACCGCTGCACGTCCTGCGTAAGTTCTCGAACCGGGAGCACGCATGACGACGTCTGATGTGACGTCGAGCGAAAGAGCTTAAGAGAGATAAACATTTTGTCATCTGTCCTAGTTCTCCAGGACATATTAAAAAAATGTCACTGAAAAAAAAAGGAAAAAGAAATGGTAATTAGAAAATGATGGAATTGCTGACAAATGAACTTTTCAGTCATACTCTAATTTATGGAATCAGTCTGTATTTACCTACAGTGGAAAACACAACTCAGTCATATTTTTGTGAAGAATTATCATATAGTTGTCTTTTATTGTCTGATTCCATCAAATGCTAAAAACATAAGCAACACGAGATTCTCTAACAATCAAAATGTTAGACATTTCAAAAACAGAAGAAGTAATTGCTGCGTAAACCAAATGAATCCTTGTCCAAAATTTAAAAAACAATATCACATCACTTGGAATAGTTTGATGTGTCATGTAATTAGTGAATTGTCCAGCTCTATGCTTCTCTTCGGGCTCACATATGGTCTCCAACTAACATACCCAAACACAAAATACCCTCCTGTTCATTGTTTTCTATTAATTCTTTAAATCTCTAATGTGGTGAAATTTATAGAGACACAGACATTTAAGAGTAAAAAATAATTTGAATTGTTATTTTGATTTAAAGAACAATGAGTTATAAACAGGCAACTTTTCTGTAATGTTAAAAAAATACTCAGAATGATAATTTACATGACATAATTTTAACTGAAAAAAATGATAAATGAATACTGACAAAACAAGAGTAACTATTTCTTGTAAAAATAAGTAATAAATAGTAATGTCATTGAGCTGACATAGTTGAAAAGCTTGTCTTTACCACATTGCCGATCTGTTCAGTGTATTTAAAGAGCTGATTAGAAAGATAATTAACTAGAACACAGAAGGGTAATACTGTCTGACGAAGATGGTCTTTCAAGAGAATTCAGTTTTTGGTGATTTTTCTCAGTGGGATTCCAGCTTCACTGTTTGAGCAGTCCTCCTCCAATCCGATAGGCGGCAGTAACTACAACTCACTCAAGAGGATGTAAACATTCTCTTCCGGAAAAGCTTACAGTTGGAATTACCTAGTCCGTCCAGCATTTGAAAGAAGAGAACCTTCAAATAAAACGATAATTAAACAAATTGAAAATGGCCGGAACGGCTTCAGTAGCAGGTGAAGTTTTTGTGGACGCTTTGCCGTACTTTGACCAGGGTTACGATGCTCCAGGCGTCAGAGAAGCGGTGAGTAAAAACATTTCGTGCTAACAGAAACGTGTTAGCTGGCTATGCTAAATAGATATGAAGCAGCAGAACACCTCATTGTAGCCTTTAGCAGTTCTGCAATTTGTTTAGATTGTGTGTAGCGACACAGCAGGAGTCAATTCTTGGATAGCAACCATAATCATTGTTATGCCACTTCACCCACATAAGGAACTAATTCGAGACGCTTTTTTTTTTTTTGCATGATTTTGTACTACCATTTGGGTCTCTACTGGTTCTAGAAACAGTCCAAAAATGAAAGTTTATTTGCATAAAAGGGGGACAGTCTTAAAACAACTCATTCCAAAAAGAGTTCAAAATAGGCAGAACTGAGCAGTTAAAATCTCATTATCTGATAATGATTTTGTGCAAAAATAATCTGAAATCGTCAGATCATCATTCTGAGATTATCTGAGAATGATAATCTCAGATTGAGATGCAGTGACCATGCTTTGTATAGCGCATAAACCCATCCTGATATGTTTAAAAGGAAGATGATAAGTCCTCTTTGGCTCAATCCAGTCAGGCTAAAATAAATTGATTCATGTTCATAGTTCACCAGTTCATAGTACTTTGAACCAAGTTGTCTGCTCCTACTTTAAACATACAGATTGCTTTAATCTGTATGACATGTTATTTTGAAAAATTACATTTTCATATATCAATACCTCTGATACACGATACCTCTTAATGGCTCGGTGTACATTGGGCAGCAAATAAACATTTTGCCTTCAAACATGGTGTGCTTAGAAACAGGAAAATGGGAAGGTGTCGGTCTAAGCAAGTTTGGCCAGTTGCATCACCCGATCGACATACTTTGATTTTCTTTGAAAAGACTGAAATTTTTGGAAATCTGTCAGACATTAATCCTGTTCTTTCCTTTAGGCTGCAGCGCTGGTTGAGGAAGAGACAAGAAGGTACCGCCCTACGAAGAACTACCTGAGCTACCTGCCTACGCCTGACTTCTCCACTTTTGAGGTGAGGAATCCATTAGACTTGTGAGGGGATGCAAAAGAAAAAAAAATCCTCATGTCCGCATTGGGCTCTGTACTTTATCTTTTTGCTCATCAGACAGAAATTATGAGGAACGAATTTGAACGATTAGCAGCTCGGCAGCCCATGGACCTCCTGAGCATGAAGAGGTAAAACCTGGTTGTTGCAGAAATGGTGGTTTTTAGGGGGTTTTTATGCTAATCCCCCAATACAGAAATGTACAGTTTAAGTGCACATTTTTTAGCATGGACTTAAACTTTTGTTGTCACTCTTTGTGGAGATATGAGCTTCCGGCGCCCACATCAGGACAGAAGAACGACATAACAGCGTGGCAGGAGTGTGTGAACAACTCTATGGCCCAGCTGGAGCATCAGGCAGTCCGCATCGAGAACCTGGAGCTCATGTCGCAGTACGGAACCAACGCATGGAAAGTCTACAATGGGTAAGAGGCATCAGCCTTTTTCTTCAAAAACTGTTTACTGTTTGAAAATGGCTGACTGTTCTCATCCTCCTTCCTCAGCAACTTGGCCTTCATGATTGAGATGGCTCAGAAGGAGCTTCACAAGTTCAGGTAAAGACAGCAGGATGGTGATATTTGATTACCCAAAGTCCTTTTTAAAAAAAAATAAAAAATTTACAGATGATGTCCTTAACTTCTACAGGAAGCAAATTCAAGATTTGAACTGGCAGCGTAAGAACGACCAGTTGGGAGCTGGAGCCAAACTACGTGAGCTAGAGTCTAAGTATGTCAATAAGAATGCTTGTATGTTTATCACGGTATGAAGATGAGACCTCGCAGTACTCTTCCATGTCTTAACATTTGTACATTTCCATCCACAGCTGGGTGTCACTGGTCAGTAAAAACTATGAAATCGAGCGGGCCATCGTCCAGTTGGAGAACGAAGTCGGTCAGCTCCGACAGCAGCAGGGGGATGAGAACAAGGAGAATATCAGACAGGACTTCTAGAGAACTGGACTCTTACTGGTTTCTGACTAAGACGGACTCCCTTTGGTTTCAGCCTGGGCGTAATCTGAGCAAAAAGAAGTTGATATGCAACTACAGATTTGACTTAGATTGGTAAAAACAACAGCGGAGCAGTTTCAGACACCCGCTGAGAGAAACAAATCTCAGCAGGTGTTCTGGCTTTAAAAGAAGCTTCTTTTCATGTTTCTGATACACTGGTGGCAGCTTTTTTTTCTTGCTTTACCACAGGACTTGAATAGATGCCTTTCAGCCAAGAGGTGTTAGCAGAGAGTGTAAATCTGTTAAAGACTGCATTAAGTGTAGTTTTACATCATTGTCAATTGATGCATTTTTTAAAAATAAATCTTTGTAATAAAATGAATTCCTATAGTTCCCTTTGAGCCGTCGTCTACAGTTGTCCAAGAGTTTCGTACTCATTTTTAATCTACACTCGTGGATATGAATGCTGCCTACTTTCAATAACAGAGCTGAAATGTTTTTATTTTAGGTGGGATGATCTTGTAGCTCCAATGACAGGAGAAAGAATTTGCTGCATGAGTTTGGATTCATAGATTTTTTCTAACCAGACATGGTAAAAACTTAAGACTCTAAAATAAACAAGAACACTTGTGTGGTTTTATGCTGTAGTATGTGTACAGATGTTTTCAATATACATATATTAAAACTGTCCGTATATTGTGACAATATGAGAGAATCCGTGAAAAGATCAAGCTCCACCAGTAGCCATTAGGAGCAACGCACTGCTCAACATACTAATAGAGAAACAACTGGAAAACCTTAACCACCATCATCGGTGGCCATGCCAGCCAGCCTGAGCAGTCACAGATGGTTCTGCTGTGGAGAACCAGCCGAAGCCGAGCAGAGACATGGCAAGGGAGATGGAGTCAGCAGGTAGATACGAAAATGAAGGAGGAAGAAATCAATAGTTTTATGGTTGCTACTTAAAGACAATTAGGCGTTCCAGTAAATTGATCACAGATAATTTTGGATTAGATGAAGCATGACGTTAAGTCTATAGGATCGGAATATAAACATCAGTTTATAATCTTACATTTTCTGCCTATATTCACATTAATACTTGCGTACGCATATGTTTGTTTTTTAATTTGTTCCTTCGATGTCCCTTTTCGGGCTCCATACAGAAGCCTGTTGATGATTGAAAAACCACTTGGGTGAAGGTGTGTATAACTTTGTCCTTGTTGAGAAAATGCACAACACAAACCATGCGAGACATTTCAAAATCATGACAACTGTATCAATCTACACTGAAATAAATTCATATTTAAAAGCCTTAAATTATGACATTAATGCATATTATACTTGGATAAAAACTTCACTTATTCTCAGCTGACTACCTGCAAAAAACAAATCTATACTAAAATAGGAACTGTACTCTGACCTAAGGAATAAAATACTCCAAAATATTTTTCATTTGCATCCATTTGGAGCTTTGGCAATAAAGCTTTATGTGAACAGGCCTCATCCTTACAAAGAAGCAATAAACGTTTTGCATTTGTTAGTAACTGATTCCTGTCAAAGTCACAAATTTTCCCCTTCACGTGAGATATCTTTATACACATTTGTACATTTTGCAATACCCAAAATAATTAATGACAATCTGTTTCTTTATAAAATCACAAATTAATTTTCCAACAATTGCAGACTTCCCATTTTGCAACTTTCTAAAATGAAAGTGGTTATAACACCATTGAGTGAATTTGAAAAACTAGTTAATATACATGCTTCTGTTATAAATATGCATTATGTCTCCTTACTCTAGAATCAGTAAATTTGTCATTTATTAACAAGTATTGGCACATTCCTTACATTACAACACCTCCCTCCCCTGTGTGATTACAAACAGAATGACCTAAATTAATGTCAACTCAGTTTAAGATAAATGAAAGCACATTATCTGCATGGTCATCATTGAAAGACAGATTTCCAGGATAAGAAAAGGAAAGAGGCAGAGTGGAAGGTAGATCAGATCTGAGCAGGATCTACAAACAAGAACGAGAACTGAACTTCAATCGCAAGCCAGCAGAAAACACTGATACTCGCGTTCCATCATGTTCTTTTGAATAACTTTCACGTGTCTCACTCACACAGGTTTGCAGGCACCATTTAACTGCTCGCCGAGAAACTACAATTTTGTTTTGTTTTTTTAAGAAAAAAAGAACAACTCAGAAACAAACATTCCCTGTGATAGAATCACTGATTTTAGCTGTGTGCAAAACTAGACAGCCACTGGTAGCAAAAGCTGCAGTGTGGAAGATTGGACCGTGCCTCAGTTCTATATACTGAGAGTGTTGAGAGCTGGTACTAGAGTCACAGCGTCTGGCAGGTTCTGGTTCTGGTCTTGCCCTCCTTTACTCTGGAGAAACTTCTGCCGATGCCTCTCCTCTTGGCGCTTCTTCTTTTCAAGCCGCTGTTGCTCTTTTCTTTGCTTGTTTGAAAGCTGAATGGGACGGAAAACAAACATAATAATAGAACTATTTGCATGTATGCTTCTAAGCAGATTCTACATCAAGTAGATTGTCAGTTTGAACAGAGCACATGTGATGCATACAAATGCAGTTATTTACTCTGAAAACTTGGGATAATTCAGCATAACTCCAAATATCAGTAGGCAGCAATGTGTTCCCAAAATGATCAGTGAAATTTGTTGAGGAATTCAACAAGCCTTAGTGAGAAACCTATGGAACTAATTTGGGACAATAAAGTTTGTATACAAGAAAGAAAAAAAAAACAGAAAAATTACTTTGGCACTGAAAAAACTGTGAATCTGAGAACAAATGTTCATACTATATATAAAAAAAGGAAAAAAGATATGAAACTGAAACAAAAATGTTAAAAATTACTTAAGAGGTTTTTCTTTTCAGTTTCAGATTTTGTTTCCAGTTTAGAACCGGTCCTGTTTTAGGATGGGGCGGGGTCACAGATGACATGCGCCGTGGAATCATGACTGACAACTGTTGCACCCATGAACTATGGAATCTGGAAATAGCTTTACAACATCTCTGATATTCTATGTGTACGAGATCGGTATTGAAAACAAACATGCTTCGATTTTATAACCTGCTTACGTCAACACACAACACAAATATCAATGGAAAAAACATTGCATTTACAAATCTGCACAGCATTTTCAAATTTATTTTAATCTCATCAATATTCACAGCATATTAAATACCCCAGCTTTTTTATTGATATCATTTTATGTAATGTATCTTAAGTATTATTTCAGTTTTTAAAGAAAATTAATTATTTTTTTATTTGGGGAAAAAAAGAAGAAAGCAGTACATCCCATCCTTGACAGTACCTTTGGCTTTTGAACGTCGCTGCCCTCTCCTGGCTTGTTATGCTCACTGCAGTCTGTGGCTTCGGCTCTGCAGGTTGAACAGGATCCCGATGTGCATTTGCCCTGGCACAGCTGGCCAAGCGGTGACCCGGCGAGCCATTCAGCATTTATTGTTGCTGCACTGAGCTGCAGCAGGTTCTCCTCATCACCTGAAGAACGAGGGAGACGGAACACCATGATCTGCTCTTGTTTACATACATGTGGGGTCGCCACCTTTCAGAAATTAAAATAAGGGACGCCCACCAGGCCTGTGTCATCCTTCTCTCATGGGGTGAGATGGCCGCTGCAGTGGTAGACATTATTTTGTGGGAAGGTTTTTTGTTTCAAAAAAGAAAAAAAAAAAAGCGATTCATAGTCAAGCGTTCATAGAGGTGGGTTAAGAATACCCCCAAATTGTACTCCAATCAGAGTAGTGCACATTCAACAGGTTTTTACTTCAGTAGAAATATAAAGGAACAACCTAATAAATTACTTAAGCAAGTGGAAAAAATATTTGGTAAAATTTCTTTTCAAGTACTGAGTAACTGCACCAGATGTAATATTTTAGACTTAATTCATCAAACAGCCAAAAATATAAGGTTAAGTGAAAATTATTGTATTTTAAAGAGTATTGCCAAAATATTTATAGAAATATGTAGTTAGTTTTGGATGCTGGTTCTAGACCACACGGGGGAAAGGTAGTCAGTGTTTCTTTAGTGTTTCACACTTAAAAAAAAACAGGAATATTTTGTCATTTGATACACCAAGTGACATTGTTCAGCCTTGAATGTGCATTTTTGCTGGCAACGACGCTATTGTAGCTGTCTGCTTCTAAGAGTTTTTGCTTCTAAGAAGGTGATTGAGAATCGGGTAGAGGATGTTTCAAAAAGACGCAGGTTGACAGCAGCTTACTGTGGCTGCGTAGTGTTGGTTTCTAGGCAACCGTGACGGCCGCATCGGACCGCAGCATCAGACCGCAGCATCGGACCGCAGCGTTCTGGTGTCCTGTTTAGCTCCCGCCACAACAATTTAGCTGACAATTTAGCTTTAACAATTCCGTATTTTACAAGACAGGTGGAAACACCTCATACATGCAACGTGCAGCATCTAAAAGCAGCTAAAGTTTTATTTAGCTACTAACCCTGGATTCCCCGATTCTTGATGGAGCTCAAGATCACGTTTTCCTCTTCACACACTGTCGGCAAGGGTTTCTTTTGCCTTTCCCTCTGACCGTCTCCAAACACACGCTGCTGGCTGTGGGAATTCTGCAGAGTCTGGAAACCGTGAAAGCATCTCAGTTAGCAAAGCATTAGAACACACACAATCTGGATACATCTCCGCATCTGTTCCGGCTCTGGAGGAATTTAGCAGGGGGGTATAGGCTTCATTTGGAGGGATGGTGTAAACAAGCTTTTGTTTTAGTATAAATATTTAAACATTTATGTAACCTTTCAAAAAAAATCACCATGTTTGGTATAAAGAATAAACAATAAGGATGTAAACACTGACATGCATAAAATGTTGAGTAATTATGTTCAAATTTGGATAAACATTAGTTCATACGTCGCAGAAATCTAAGGGGTCCAATCTCTGAAGTCTATTTCGTTGAATCCAAAATCAATCTACTCAAGTAAGAGTTTACATAATATTGCTCAAGTAAAAAAAAAAAGGTACCATGGAGTAAAACTACTCTGAGCACTTTTTTCCCCTCAAAAAGTTACTCAAGTAAATATGAACAGTGCCACCCGCTTTTGAACATAGATAACAATATCAGATAACAACAATATTAAGCTTGTTAACAAGAAATAATGCAAAGTTCTTTGTTGCTGGTTTGCTCCCATGACTCTAACACACACCAGCATGCCGTTCTGCACAGCAGCAGAACAGCATCTAGCGGTCATGTTACGTTTAGAGGCGGCTCGTAAAAACATGTTACAACATATTAACAACAGATTAAACAGTAGACGGGTCTAAAAAACGTGTAGGAGACCGAGACCACAGATACGGGAAGAGGGGGAACAGGTGGGACCTCGACAGGCCTCACCTTGCCGCATGTTTTTTTTCTCCTTCCTGTCGGACTACTCTCAAATAAAAGCCACTAGAAACTCCTTATAAAATAAAACAATTACCTCAATGTGTAGCTGTGCAGGACTCTCAGAGTTGTCTCCGACGCGCCGCACGCTGTCATAGTGATCTCCATATCGGTAGGCGATGTGCAGCTCTCTACACGCTTGCTTCTCGACACCATTTATCTGCCAAGGCGACACAACTAATGAACTGGTGAAATACAGGTGCGATAATCATGAGCTCATGTGATGTCATTTGATTGCCTCATCCTGTGGTTTGATCCCTACCTCCCAAAGTGGAGCATTTAGCTGATGAATGACCACTTTCACTTGCTGACTGCGAGCAAAAGCTACGATAGCGTCATTGCCAGCAAAGGTACCAGACTGGGCGAGATTGGACACTGGAGGAAAAGAAAAGAATAAGTTAGTTTTTAGACATTTTACAAGATACAATACGATTGTATAACATAAATTACTGTTTTATATAAAATGTCCTCTCAAATAGAATTGATAAATTATCTCTATTTGACTAGAAATTTAATCAATAAAACAAAAACTGTTAAATGAATGAAAACAGTTTTCTTATAATAGTAATGAGGATTTGCACACTATTCCCATTAAGCATCTTCTCACACACATTATACACCTGACTTGTCTCAGAACAAAACACTAATTTAACCAAAAAAAGAGCCCCTAATTTCAATAACCAACATGCAAAATATAAATTATTGAGTCATAACGAATAATAAATACTCACTACATTGAAACAATGCAAGTAAATCATTTTAAGGTAGCTGACCTTCCTGCTCATACACAAACTTATGTATCTGAAGAAAGTTACACAAAAAGCTCGAAAAACATGTCTTCCATCCAGCGTTTAGGAGGTAGAAATAGTTTTGTCAAATTCTAACATCTCCTAAAACAAGAGAGGTTTGGTCTGAGTTAACTTCAGACAGCGAGAAAAAAAAATGTGTATGTCTTTTTATTAAGTGTGTGACCTGCTTTCAACAATAAATAATGTTTTTCAAGTTTAGGCTTTTACTCAAGCGCTAGATAGCACTTTATGGCAAAACTGTGCAGTTTGAATTGGAAGCACTTTCAAGGATCTGATGCAAATATCTACCACTTTCCAAATCTTGAATTGAAATTCATGCATTTTCAAGGATTTCAAGCCCCTCCATGAAACCTAAAAGGAAATGAAAACTCTGAAAAATGCTTCATCACTTCTAACTTGCAGACAAAAACTTCCAGGAGTCACTGCTTCAACATCAACTATAAATTAAACAATCCCATAATCATCAACCATTGGTATAACATTATTCAATTTAAAAATATATATCAAAATAAAAATTTGTGTTTCCAACTGCTTCTTTCTTACGGTGCTGTGGAAAAGGAACATCATCTTCAACGAAAGGCTCAAAGTCTTGTCGATGGGACATCATGTACTGGACGGTCTCTTGGCGAAGCCGCAGATGACCCCGCGAATGCCCCTCTAACTGGTCACCGAGCGCTCTGAACAGGCAGTTCCTGTAAGAGACAGAGATCATACATAATGATTGATGTACCTCATTACTTGCAATATGGAAAAAAAAGCTCTGTCTGAGTTAAAGAAGCTATTGTTCCAGCCTGTCCAATGGGGACGGGTTAAAAGGTCCTCTCTCAACAAATTGAAGCCCGGTGTGTAATAATCAGAAAGATTATTTTTTTGTTGAAGAAAAGAAAATCTGTTTTATTTTTACAATTAGATAAGGGCAAGATAAGCTATTTTGAAAGAGTTGAGGCAGGCTTTTCAACAGGACAAACTAAAAAATAAAGACAACGAAAAGGAAGACATTTTGTCCTAGAATTGCAACACTCCCCTCCCCCCCCCAAAAAAAAACTAAGATCATGGGAAATGCTTCGTAGCAGCCACCGGATGAAACATGGACTGTTTTTAGATAAAGAGGGTTTGAAAAACTCTTTTTACCTGTAATTATTTATTTGATAATTTTTATCTAATTACTCCTCTGAGTAGTTTGGTATGTTCTTTCAGCAAATGGCCTGTTGTGAGTCTGTATACTTCCATTAAGGATCAATCCATTACTAAATTAATTGACAATTATTTCAATGATCGGCTAATCACAATTAATTGCTTTCGGCCCTCGATCAAACACACCAACATCAACACACATGACAAATATAAACAGTTTCCCTTCTCTTACCCGTCTCCTGGGACTTCTCTCAGCTTTAGCCCAAGTGCCTGGAGCTGTTTGGAGAAGCTGACATACTCTGCACCGTCATCGTTATCCTGAGGGCGATTCTTCCGATCTTTTGCAATGGCACGACGAGCTGCTCGTTCATCCCTCTTGCGTTCCAGTTCACCCTTTTTATTGCTCTTCACAGGTTTCGCTGTCTGTTTCCGAGACATAATTGCTCTAATCGTTTCTTTGTGCCTGGAGCACCAAATAATGTCCAACTAGATGGCACTTCATTCAATAATTCCAGTCTTGTGCAACCTAAAAACCCAGAAAGACAGGTAGGGAAATGAAAGTGATAAATGAAGATGGATACATGTTGCTACAAAGTGAGAATAGATATTATGTATTTGTATTGAAAAAATACAATGTGGAGGTGTAAAAATAGTATGTAAGCTTTTACCAAAGATCTCCCACTTAGCTATTACGATTTTCCTATTGTTCTTTATTCTTTCAACAGAAAGAAAAACAAAAACTGTCAAAAATATGTATTCTGTCTGAAATGCAAAATAAAATATGTAGAAATTATTTTAACAGGAACCACCTGGTATGACATTATATTAGCAAGATAACCTCGAGTAAAAATGTAAGGCGACATGGTATTTATGCAAAACTGTTTAAACCTGAGCTAATTAATATGGTCTAAAAAAAACAATAAAAGCTCAATAAATATTTCTATTGCAACTAAGGCATAAATTGTTAAAGTTATAATAATGTTATCTAAAATATGTACGTGTTGTGATTTTTAAACATAGAGACAAGCAAAATACAGAACTAACACCCGTAATATAAAGTGCAACTTATTCAAATCCCATATAGATTGAAGATCATAAATAATCTGAGCCTATCTGTAAAACAACTTTGAAAATGGATCATATAGGACACCAACAGATTTAATCTAAAAAAAAAATCATAGTATGAATTTTTTTTTATATCAAAATATATTTTTAATGTAATGTGGGCGTTTCCTTTTCCTTTGTAAATCAGAAAAATGAAATAAACAAAAAAAACTTTTTGTTTTTAAAAATAAGACGGTTATACTAATACACTGAATTTTTTGCTCAGTTCAACTAAATTACCACTTTTGTTTAATGTAAGATTTTTGAAGAAATCTGAGAAAAACCAAAATGCTCCCAGACTTTTGTCTTAAGGTTGTTCCAAATGAGGCACAATGAGAAACAAATGGCATCTAACCAGAAGCCAAAATGTGAATTAACCTTTACAACAAAAACGTTCCCATTCTGTCTCTGTATAAGTTCTGTCTCTGTTCATACATGGCGGAAGCTACATTTGAAAAATCGACATGTATAATTGTTATAATTGTTTTAGGTTATACTTTTTCAGTTAATGTGGCTTTAAACGTGTTGCCTGCCTGGTTTCTTTCCTTTTTTAGGCCTAATACTTTAGCTTTTTATTAGGAAATAAAAAGCTGAAATAACAGCCCGGTTGTTTCATTTTTATATGCATAAAACTGCTCGGTAGAATCCAAATGAACATGTAAAACGCACCAACTACTCACTGTTGTCAAATGGTTAAACGGAACTTTATTTGTTACTGTTAGCTAAAATGACAACTAGCCGGAGCTAAATGGAGAAAATGACCGATCCAATATATCCAGTTTTATCAACACTTCGTCTACCGAGTCGCAATATATCTTAACTCAAAGACTCTTACCTGACATGTGCGGAAAATTATGAGTTTTCTCTATGTTTATGCATGTTTGGTTCAGACAAAAACATTTCGCGTCTACGTATTTGTTTACAACCGAAGTTCCGCTTACGTATTTGTAGGTACGTCAATACGTACGGAAGCCATAAGGGGCCAAAGTAGAATTAAAACCGCTCCACAATGTCGAAACAGTGATAAAAAATATATCAGATCTATCTGTCTGTCCGTCCGTGACAAACAGCTGTGGCTCAATACAAAATAAGAGTCTCTGTATCAGATCTGTAGTAAGTCTTACCTCTGAATAACATCCACCTTCTGCCAATCATGTAGATCCAGTCACCCTCAACTCTTTGTGATGACACCATGCAGTTAGTGAACATGACGTGGGGGTGGGAACTGCACGACAGAGTGAGGACAATTTTATTCACAGCGACTATCTCACTAACTATTGAGCAAACCAAAAATATAAAGGATTGCACTTCTCTTTGTTATATATTCCCAACCAGCTGTGCAGGTTTGGATGAAGTCTAGTGAGTTGTTGGCTTTGTCTTGGCAGATGTACACTGGCCTGAAGGTTACATTTGTGCGTGTGCAGCACTCTCACCAGAGAGGAACAGTCAGCCAAGGGTGACTGAAAGACAGAATTTGATCTGAATGCAGACATACTCACCGTACCATGTGTTTCGTTCATGTGTGCATAGATAAGCACTGATAATCGACAGTGTTTGACAAATTACTGATACATATCAATTTATTTTCCTGCACTTTTTTCACTTTTTTTTTGTTGCAACCACAAACGTTTATGCATTCCATTTATATTTGATGTAAATGACAAACAATGAGGAAGAAATGTAACTACATTTAATTTACAAGGCATCTTTCACAGGTTAAAAAAAAAAACTCAAAGTTTTTTAGGGGGGCAAAAAACGTGGGGTGACAGTGGTAGGAGTTTGTCCTGCAATTGGGGGGTTGCTGGTTTGTGCAAACCCACTCGATCCTTCTTTGTTGTTGTGCCCTTGGGCAAAGCACTTCACCTACCTTTGCTTGCTGTCAGACACCCTCAGGGCACCTGTGGGTGTTTTCTGTATCCAATAGCTTGCCACCATTTGTGGCTTGAAAGAAAAAGAAATAAATACAAACAGAGGAATCTTATTTAAAATGACGGTCCAGAAGCAAGTATATGTTTCTGGATTACTTCCAAACTTTTTATCATTATTATTTTTTAGAAAAGAAATAGATTGCTTCTATATATATATATACTTCTCAAAAAAATAAAGGGAACACTCAAATAACATATCCTAGATCTGAATGAATGAAATAAATATGAAAATAATTTTCACCTGTTGTCTATTCCATTTGCACAACAGCAGGTGATATTGATTGTCATTCAATGTTGCTATCTAAGTGGACAGTTTGATTTCACAGAAGTTTGATTTACTTGGAGTTATATTGTGTTGTTTGAGTGTTCCCTTTATTTTTTGAGCAGTATATATGTACATATATATATAATTTTTTTTGCTTTTACACAAGACGTAATAACTTTGAAGTTGCTGTCAGCCTATCAGTCTAAAGGTGGATCTTAAAAGATAATACAGTTGAAAATTGAGTACAGTGCTTAGTAGAAAACCCCCCATCAAAGCCAGGAGGCGGGTCTTAGTGCTGCCAATCAATGATGTAAACACGACCCAATACACAATACTCTACAGTACTGTTCAGTACTTTGGCATTGCTGTATTATGAGTAAAAATGGCACATTTGAAGAGTATTTCTGAGAAGAGATATATCCTGTTCTTCTTTTTATGGCGCTTAAAAAATAAATAAAAAAAATGAAAGTGTGCGATACTTTGCTAACTTAAAGTATGTTGTATTTAATATATTTCTTAAAAGTGTATTCTGGCACAATTTTATTGAAGTATATTTAAAGTTATAATGTCAAAATTGGTACCAGTATGCTGTTAGTATACTTTGTATATATATTTGTATGCAGTAAACTTAATATTTCGTATATTTAAAATCTACATGCAAATGTATGTTTGAAATATGTTAAATTACTTCACCTTTGTATTGCAAAGATGAAGTATCTTTCCACCAAACCACAACCACTTTGTTATCAACCTTCCTGAATATATACTGTGCATGTATAAAAACCTGCTGATAGGGAACCAAAAGTGGCTCCAGCCCACAGGGGCCCCAAAACCTCCTAAATCCGGCCTTTCACAGGCCTCCAGAGACAGCTTGCAGTTCCACCTCTCCTCTCCTCTCTCTCTCCCCTCCCTCTAACCGCCCACTGTACACGCTGTCGCGCTCGCGCGCACACGCACGGCCAGTGGAAAGTGGGTGCTCGTGTAGCTGCTGGAAGCCAGGATGGGATAATCATGCGCGTCTGGCTCCGGGCGTTGATGCAGTTCGCCGATGCTGGATAGGGACTGGTCTCGGGGCGCAGGGTGGGTCTAGGTGCAGGCCACGGTGCTGCTTGGACCGCGACTTGATGCTTATCAGGCCAATCCGAGGAAGACTGTAGGGCGATGGCCGCGAGAGGTGTTGGTGCTGCAGCTCTTTGAAACGATCTCGCCTGATGGAGGACGGGATTCACCGGCACTGAAGCGCAGAGCGAGCGGGGTCTGGAGGAACTTGGTGGGGGGGAAAGGGAGAGAAGGCATCGAGGCATCCCCTTCTTAGAGGATACAAAAAAAAGAGAGCGAAAGAGAGACGCATTTCATAATTTTTTCCTTTGAGTGATGTTAATTTGAACGTTGGAATAGAGGTGGACGGGGAGAAACGGAGCTAGAGCAGTGGATTCCTTTCGAATCGGCAATTAAGGAGCGGACAGCCTCTGTGGAGCCGCATCCGTCCATCCGACCGACCGACCGACCGACTGTCCGGGGTGGTGGAGGTGGTGGTGGTTGGGGACCTTACTTGGATGGAGAGAGGGTGCAGTGGAGGCTGAGAGAGAACGGCTCGCCGTGTGTAGGAGGAGGAGACGGAGGGAAAACCGGGCAGTTTGAAGGGCCGGGGAGCCAGGAGCGGCGCGGCGCGGCGGCTCCCATGAGCGGCTCCTGCCGGGAGAGAGCGCCCACAGCCCAGCCGGAGCGTCTCCACTGCCGCGGGTAGAAGCCCGGGCTCCAGGACGGCGGTCAGTTTTGGAAGTTTTGATGCATATGATCACAACCACCATGATTTTTATGATTCTTGGTGCTTCAGTTGTAATGGTAAGACATTCTCACCTCCCTCAGATGCAATGTGATTTCTTCTTCTTTTTCTCTCATTTCCACACAGAGGCTATATGATGCCAAAGATTTTTATTTTTTTTAACTTACATAAATATATGGGGTTTTTTTAGACACCTTATCAGTGTGGCATGTGGAAGTAGGTAAGCCTGTCTATAATTAGCCTACCTGCTGTCATAAATAAATCAGTTGGTTTTCAAGCAACAGTCTCCCTCTCTTAGAAACGAGTGTGTATGTGTGTGTGTGTGTGTGTGAGAGAGAGAGACAGAGAGAGAGAGAGAGAGAAAGAAAGAGAGAGAGACAGAGACCTAGAGAGAAAAAAAAAACCTGCCATTTTCCTTCTTCTGGTTGTAATTCCCATTCTTTCTGAAAACCCTTCGCTGTGTGTGGTGACAGTTGAGCGCCGTTGCTCGACATGTCCCAGCTGACTGGCCTGGTTCTTTGCAGGCGATCGCCTGTTTAATGGACATGAACGCACTACTGGACCGCTTTCACAACTACATCCTACCGCATCTACGAGGGGAGGACCGCGTCTGTCACTGCAACTGTGGAAGGTAAATACCAGCATCCTCCACAATGTGTGGCATGAAAAAAATAAAATAAAAAAATGCTGTGCCGTGTTCCCCCCTCTGTCCTCCCTCCGCCCCCCGCCCCCCTCCGGCACAAACCATCACCGCCACCCGTCTGTTCTCAATTGCCGGAGAGGCCTGGAAGATTTGAAGCGGTGAAACCCCGCAAAGCCACCCTGATAGGCTGCCGTCCTGTGTGCGCTCTGATAGCCGCGGTTACCGCTGAGGTCCTGATATTTTTCTTACATAAAACCCGATCTCGGTGGGGGTTTTCATTTATTTATGTAGGCCTATTTATTTTTTTAATCATTATTTTTATTGTTGTTTTGCAGTATATAGCGGCTGACTGTAAAGGTTTACTTACCGCATGCAGGAAGGCGTATGTGCGCGCGCGTGTGTGTGCGCGCGCGCGCGTGTGCAGGACCCATAAATAGGTAATGAAGTATGAGCGACAGTAGGCCGTTTAAAACAATCTGAGCATCAGATGCGCTGTGCGGTACAACATTCACCATGTCACGACAATATTAGACCTGCCAGACGAGTTACTGACGAACTTCAATCCAGATACTTGCATTCACTGTTTAATCTTTTTTTTCTGTTATTAAATCAGAAATTAAAAAATCTTGTGTACCAAAAAGTATTTCTAAGTCATTTGCTAAATTACAGACCACTGTCATTATTTATTTATTTATGTTTTAGAAATCAGAGGTTGACACAATAAGATCACATGATGATGTCATGGCTTTTTGGGCGCTTTTGAGTCAGGTGGAGTCACGCCTATGAGCAGACTCCAACTGTTGTCCTTATTTGTGTGACATCATGAGGAAAACAAGCCAAGAAGTCAGGAAGAGAGTAGTGGACCTAGTTCATTCTTGCGTTAACTTTTCACATCTTCATCTGTCCAAGAAAAAACACAACAACAACAACTGGATCTGTGTCCCAGACAGAAAAGATGCCCCCCCCCCAAAAAAAGCAAAAGATCCAGTGAAACAAATCCTGTATCTACATGGACTGAAATCAGGCTAATCATTGAAGATGAAGCAATTACTCATTAGCAAAAAGACACCATCATGTAGAACTTCAATTCTGACAGGTCAGACATATCTAGGCCTGTTGCAATAATCAATAAATTGCATGATCGATTTAAACAAGCTCACTGATTTCCATTGGATGACAAAAGTCTTCAGTTTGTCGCTTAATTTTTTCGTAACTAGCCCTTTTTTTCTAAGGTCAGTTTTGTTTTTTACAGAGACTTCAGAATTCATTTGTTTCTGTTGTTTATTTATTTGAAATATTTAATACACCATCCAGTTGGAGTGCTAA